GCTTTTCTTATTTTTGGTTCTTTAGATCAAGGTCTAAGTAGACAAGGTCATTTTTGTACCAAAATTCCAGGAGTTTAAAGACTAAGAAGAACTCTGGCAAACAAGAAAGCTCCTGCCAAAAAAGAGGATACGTTTATTTTGGTGCCAAAAAACCAAACAAACACTGAGATGCATATGTGTTTTCTGTGAGCTTTTTGAAGACTTCTTGTGCATTAGAACTTGCCATTTATTTATTTATTTATTTAGGGGACACAAAAAGACAGACAGAGAGAGCTTACTCCCCAGATGCCTGCAACAGCCAGGGCTGGGCAGGAGATGAAACTGGGAGCCTGCAACGCATCCCAGACTCCCCAAGAGCACGGCAGGACCCAGCTATTTGAGCCGTCACTGCTGTCTCCAGGGTCTGCAGTAGCAGGAAGCCGGAGCCAAGAGCCAGAGCCGGGAATCAGGTGCAGGTGCTGCCACGTGGGACGTGGGCTTCTTAACCAGCTCGCCAAACGCCTGCTCCCAGGACTGGTTCCTGAAGAAAGGGGAGGGGTCCTTCGACTTGTCCAAATGTAGCATGGGCAAGGGCAGCCTGCAGTGTGGACAGCCTCCCAAAGACCCCCCACTGTCCCTACCTGTCTTTCTTCCATTTGCTGGTTCATGCCCCGAATGCCCACAAGCATCTGGAGCTCAATCTGGGTCTCTCACGTGGATGACAGGGGCCCTAGCACGTGAGCCATCACCTGCTGCCCCCCAGGGTGTGCATTAGCAAGAAGCTGGATCTGAAGTGGAGATGGGACTCGAACCCAGGCACTACAATATGGGATGCTGGTGTCTTAACTCCTGAACCAAACACCTAGCCCTCTTCTTTCTTCCTGATTTCGAAATGAATGCCTGTTCTTGCTGACGACCGCCCTGACAGGGGTTCTGTTCATTGCACAATGGCACCCCCACCCCATTCAATGACTTCTGATGCTGATCCTGACTGCCACCTTTGCTGAGTCTCTCCCGTGTATCTAAAGGCAGCAGAGGGCCACCCAGCAAGGAGGGCGCTGCCGTGAGACCATCTAACCCTCCTTACTCGGCAGAGCTCAGTCCCTAAAGTCTTATGTTAACGGTTTGAAAGGAGAGAAAATTTGGGGCTGGCACTGTGGCGTAGTGAGTTAAGTCTCCACCTGCATCGCCAGCATCCCATAAGGGTGCCAGTTCGAGTCCCGGCTGCTCCACTTCCAATCCAGCTCCCTGCTGTGGCCTGGGAAAGCAGTGGAATATGGGACAAGTGCTTGGGCCTCTGCCCCCATGTGGGAGACCCAGATGGAGTTCCTGGCTCCTGGCTGTTTTGGGCATTTGGGGAGTAAACCAACAGATGGAAGATCTCTCTCTAGCTCTCACTCTCTCTCTCTCTCCCCTGCCCCCTTAACTCTGCCTTTCAAATAAAAAAAAATCTATTTAAAAAGGCGGGGGAGGAGAAAGAGTGGACACAATCTGATGATGCTGTGTTGTGTGTGTGGGGGGGCTCTTTGGACAGTGGTTAAATTGGATGAGGTCATTAGGATGAGCCCAGTCTGAAACCTGATGTGGAGAGACGGGAACCACACAGACACAGAGAAACACACCTGCTCCCGCCATGATGTAGTGCAGTCCAGGGGGCCCTGGCAAGAACCTGCACCATGCTCTTTGTCCTTGTACTTCCAGAACTGGGAGCCACAATAAACCTCTTTCCTTTATAAACTACCTTGCCTCAGGTCCTTTGTAACAGTAACAAAAAGCTGACTAATACAGATGGCAAAGACGCATGCCCAAGGTTAGAGCAGCAGGCAGCATCAGTCCAAAATGCCAAGCAAATGCCAGGAGAGTTGCGGGTTGCATAGAAAATCGATGGCATAAAATCAGCTGAGCAGACTCTGCAGCCCAGTGCAATTAGGCCAAAGTGCGGTTGGCTGACAGCGTGAGCGCTGGAGCTGGGGGCTGCAGGCCCGCCGCGTGGCAGGTGCATCACCACAGCTCACTGCGAAAGAAGCCAGCGATGGCAGTAGCTGTCTCAGGGAGCTGTTGCAAGAGCTACAGGGACAGCACTGGAAAGAGGCAACCCACTTCTCGCATTCCAGGGGGTCCAGGCTCCGGTGCCTCTGGCGAATGAGATGGGATCAGGCACTTCCGTCTCATTGCTGTGGTTCTCACACAAAAATTTTCCCTGGGTGATGTCATGGGTTGACTTATGGTCCCCAAAAGATGTGTCTAGCAGGGCAGGGAGCTTGCATGGAGAAAGGACTTTGCTGGTGTCATCCGGCCAAGGATCTGGGGATGAGATGGTCCTGGGTTAGGATGGGCCCCACAGCCCAGGACAATGGCACGTGCGGAAGGGAATTGACACACACGGAGGAGGAGGCGGGGCCGGACGGACTGGCCTCAAGCCAAGAGCCGCAGCAGCCAGCCTGGGGCAGGGTCTCCCTTGGAGCCCCAGAAGGAACGAACCCTGAGCACCTTGGCTGTGGACTTGGGGCCTCCAGAGCCGAGTGGAGAGACTGTTGATGCTTCACGGCACCACGCTATGGCTGTTCTTATGGCGGCCCCAGGAAACAGAGGCAGGTGACGTCCTGGGTTTCCAACTCGGAGGTGACTGAAGAATCGCCTCCTTTGGGCCCTAAGCCTTGCATCTGTGTCTGCTGCCGCCTTGCGCTGCTGTCTCCCGCACTTTCATAGAGCTGGGAGGCCTTGGGGGCGGGGGGAACTGAGTGGCTGATGAAGAGGTGACTGACAAGGTCACAGGAGGAAGAGGCAGAGGCAGAGCCCCCCCAGCCCAGCCCAGGGAGGCAGATCACAGAATCTCGGGGGCTGGACCTCAGCCTCCGGGTGACCTTGGGCCATGCCCAGCTATTCCTCAGGGCTCAGTCGTCCTGGGGGTGAAACAGATGCACCAGGCTACCTGCTTGCTGGGGTCCCTTCCTGGGGGCCCCCCTGCACTGCAGCAGAGGTGGGGGCGGGGTGTAGTGAGGAGAAAGAGAATGCGACAGCCTGGTCCTTGGTGGCGAGACCTTGGCCCTGTCCACCAGCATAGCACATGCTGCACAGCCTCACCTGCCTGCCAAAGTCCAAGTGCAAGAACGGAGGCTGAGGGCAGCCGGCGCGGTGCCATGGCCAGGGCCGGCCCTGGCGCACTGCAGCACACGGCCGGGTCCCAGGCAGCGTGCGGGCTGCAGAGCCGCCCTCCTGGGCTGTGTGGAAAGAAGCCCCACACTCCCCGGCTCACCTCGGCAAAAACACGGACACGGAAACCACCGAGGCTCCTGGTGTCTCTGAATCTGGTCTTCGGAGGTGGCGTTTGGTTCCCTTGGTCCCCAAAAACCTGCACTCACGTTCTCCTTCACTGTCCTCTCTCCCATTCTGAGTTTGTCCTAAATTCAGACCCCGGGGCTCCCTGCTTGCCCCCTCCCCCTGCACCTGTTCTGGGTTATCCCACTGGGGTTCCCTTTCTGGACTATCTGCCTTTCCAGGGCTTCTCCCTGCTGCACTTTCCCACTTGCATCCGAGTCTTAAATGCTATTAAGTTGCCTAGAGGCAGGAACAGAGCTGGGACCTCAGAGGCAGCCGACAAAATCGACACTTAGTGGCCACCTTGTACATTTCACAGGCTTGCAAATTTGTCTACACGGGCTTCTCTTGAAAGAAAGCGGAAAAAAAGAAAAAGAAAAAAGAGAGAAAGCGGAGGTTTCGCAAACAGTGGAGCCTGTGCCAGCGAACAGAGCTGGACTGTCCCAGCCTCTCCGTCCCCTTTGAGTCAAGTCCCCTCGTCACACTAGGTCGCTCTGGACTTCAGCTCCTTCCTAGAATTCTCAAACTTGTGAACAAGTCCCACCTTTTCCCAAACGAAGGATCAGGGATCAGGGATTCTGCAGGGGTCTCTCTCTCTCTCTCTGTCTCTCTCTCTGCAAGAGAAGTACCTCCAGGTGAACAAATCTAGGAGGTGGAGCAGAGCCGTGGACGTGGCCGTGAGAGACGCAGCTCTTGGCAGGGGTGTCTCTGGGGTTTGCAGTGTCAGGGGTTTAAATTAAGCTGGCTGGGGGGTGGGGGGGGAGGGGCAGCGACCATCCCGCCGCGTGCCGTGCCGCGCTGACTCTGGCACCATCTTGGTGGAGGGACCCAGCTGACACTTCTTATTTCGGGTCCTGCCTCCCCAGGAAGCAGTCTGCAACTTGCCGGTGTGTGAGCGGGGCGGCAGCCGCAGAGCAGGAGACCGGCCCGGCCAGAGGTAACTTCCAGGGAGGGGCGCTTTGGGTTCCGGAGGCTAAGCCAGCTCCCCGGGGGTAGCCCCCGAAAGACCGCCTTTGCTTGGGGTTCTGCAGCGTGTTCTCTAAGGGACGGGCGGGAGGGCTCTCCCCACACTTTGCACTAACTCTGGGCTGCAAGAACTCCAGCCAGGTTCCTTCCCGCAGAGCGATGCTGAGAAAGCTGAGTCAGTGATTTGCAGGAGCCCATGTGTTAAAAATAATGTGGCTTCTATGCCGTTCGGGTGCTTTTTTTAAAAAAAATCGGGGCTGTGTCTCATGTTGGTTTCCCGTTTGCACCTTGTGTTTTACTTACGCCAGAACGCGTGTAAGTTTGTAGATGAGATTTTCGTAGGGATTTGGTGATTTAAAAAAAAAAAAAGCCGCTCCATTGCAGTCCCGCTGCAGTCGCTGTCCCTGCTTCGACTGCAGAGGCTGCCAGGAGCCGGCTCTGCCTCTCCTCTTCACCCTTGCTGGAGTCTGGGGGTCGACTCCACTGGCCCCCTGGCTTCTCCAAGCCCCTGCCCCCTTCTCTCTGCTCCCCGTCCCCTGCCAAGGACCCCGGTAAGTGCGCTGATGGGGGTGGCAGTCGGGGTTTGAAGGGGAACTTGGGCACTGCAGCTTTAAGAATGCCGTACTGCGAAATCTTTCTCCTTCAAGTGACTGCAGCACCGCAGCCGGCAGCAGCCGCGGGAGGAGACAGCTGGAGGGGGGGAGGGGGAGGGGAGAAGGGGGGAGGAGGAGGAAGAGGAGGAGGGATGCCCACTCTAGCTAGCTGGGTGCCTTGGACTCAGGAGCGCACAGCCCCAAGCAAATCCAAAGCTCAATCAGGGCATTCACTTTCTGTTAGATGCTCTCTCTCCCCTCACCCCGAGCTGGGGGCGGGGACCCCGCAGACTTACTGAGGAGTTTCAGCCGGGTCCCTGCCTGCGTGCCTGTGGTCCTGCTGCGCGCTTGTGTCTGCTTCCCCGGGGCAGAGGGTGCAGATCTGAGCTCTGTGGTGATCTTTCTCCAGCCTGCCTTATTCATGGTGGGTGGGGAGTTGCTTCTTTCTGGTTTACTGAGCTGAGCTTTGGAGGGAAACTCGAATGATTTGTGGCCGTAGGGGCACGGGCTGCGGCATTTCAGGATGGGATGGCGGGTGTTGAGTGCCGGTGCGTGGGAGCCAGGCAGTGGGGAGAGGGGCTCCACGAGGGGCATGTCTGGTTCCGCAGGGGCTCAGGTAGCCGGCATTGCACACCTCGGAGAGTGCCTCTCCCTGGGGGAAGTGCACCTGGTGTCTAGGACCCAGACCCCTGTGCACCCAGCCAGGGGCTCTCCCCAAAGCCAGGAGCTGTCTCAGCAGGGTCCGAGCAAAGTTACTTCCAGGCTGGTGCTGTCGGTGCGGCATTCCCAGACACAGGGCACCCGGCGCCAGGTCCACGTTGGGGGTGGTATCATGCGGTGCCAATGGTGGCATCTACCCAGGTGGTCTCAGGCACGGAGGGGCAAAGCAAGGAGGTATCTTTAGACCCAAACCCTCTAGGTCTCAGAATAAATCAGTTCAAAGCTAGTGCAGCCGGCCTCCCTGACATAAATTTTCCAGGCAAAGCCCCAGAAACAGCCACTGGGCAACAATGGCTGAAGCTGGCAGGACGTGACCTCCGTGGGTCCCTGCATTGTGTTCCGATCCTCGCTATAGACAGGAGCCAGACACGAAGACTCAGCCTCGGAAAGCCTGCCCTTGTGCAGGGAGGAGGCCTGCCCGAGCTGCAGGGGCGTGAGCGGCACCTGCCCCAAACATGGCAGGAAAACACGGGCTTGTGGACAAATGTGTCATGGAGGCTTAGACCCGGAAATCTCCCGGTCAGAAAAGCGCTCTGGGTTGAACACAACCCCTTTCTTCCAAGTGAGGAGCACCCGTCTCCTTTCACCATCCCCCCCTTTCTCTCGACCCCTTTTCCTATACACCCTCCGTGTGTTTGGAATGGTGTTCCACTCTTGCCCACACATCTGCAGCAGCCTCAGTGTTCTGGGCTAACGTCTTTGGCACAAATAATTTTGAGCCTGGTGTATTCAAATGAGCTGTAGAGAAGTCCTTGGCACCAGGGTCTTCTGAGGTCAGCATGGCGTGGTGCTAATGGTGGTGACTCACCTGGGCACCGTCAGACACAACCCTGGCCCATCCCAGCCCCCGGAAGCTGCCAGGATGGTCCATTTGTCTCTAGACTTGAAGCTCTGGGGGCTGAGGGCTCGAAGCTGGCGGTCCCAGGCAAACGCCTCTCCCTGCCTGGTCTGGGTGACAAATGAGTGTCCTTTCTCTCTGGCATTTGCTGAGGGAACACCTGATGGCTACAGCCACCAGCAAACACCACTGTTGGCACCCACCATCCTGTCCACGTCCACGTGTGGCTGGTCACCCACGGGGAGGTCAAGTGAGATAGGAGGGGGAGTGGGTGGCCCCTGAGCCCGGCCCCGTGACACAGCTGGGACTTGTGAGGTGAGCTGTGTGTGCTGCCAGACTGAGAGGGACAGGGACAGCCACCTGGCTTCGGCTTCTCCTCGACGGAGGCCTCCAACCTTCAGACAGGCACCGGGGGGCCCGAGGCGTCCCCAGGAAGGTGGCTGGGCAGGGCAGGAGCAGCAGGCAAGGTGACACGAGACCCTCAGGGACAGAGAGGGTTGGGGGTGGTGCTTATACACCGAGGACACTTCTGCTCTCAGACAGCAGAACAGGGCAGCCCCTGCTGGGGGCAGCCGCCCCCCACTTTTTCTGGGTTTTCTCAGCTAGAACTTCCAGTGCAATGGGTGCCGACCCCCTCACACCCCAGCACCAGCTTTGCCACCTGCCCTTTTCCCTGCCCGTGTGTATGTGTGTGTGTGTGTGTGTGTGTGTGTGAGGTCCCACGGCCCTGCGCTTGACCCCCACAGTCCCTTGCAGGGGGTTCCATGGGCCTGGGTCGGCCTTGGAGGAGGATTCTGTGTCTCTGCGTCCCCTGGAGTCCCGGGAGCAGGGCGCAGTGCCTTGCAGTAGCTGGAGGGGGAAAATGAGGTGGGGGCGCCACCCGACGGGGGACGCAGGAGGGTGCCCGTTTTGGTCCCGTGCGCAGGGCTCCTGGGACACCGTCCAGTGCTGACTCAGGGCACATTCTCCCGGCTCTCTCTTCTCCCACCCCCGCTAACTGCCCCAGCGCTGGCTGGCCCTGCCTGCTGGGCTCTCCCGGGCTCCTTGCGCAGGGGCACTTGGAACAGACGCTGCTGCAGGCCCTCCCCCGCCCGCCCGGGCCGAGTCAGCAGTGCTGGCGGCTGCGGGGCTGCAGCGGCGGCGGCGATGCGGGGCCCCTGCACCACTGCCCGCCGGGCGCGCTCTGCCCGCGCTCGCGTCCCGACGGCCACCGCCTGGCGGCTGCGCGAAGCCCGCGCCGACACCGGACCGCAGGCGCGGCGCTGATTGGTGCAGCGAGTGAGTCCCCGGCTTTATTTAGACCACCTTGTCCTGACAACCCGACTTCCTGGCCGCGGAGGGCTGGGGGCAGGAGGCAGCCGCCTCGTGGGAAGGAGGACGGACGGCGCGCTCTGCCCCTGCCGCCCGCAGCGGCCGGTGGCGCGCAGCCCGGGACCGACGCGCTCTCAGGCGCTGCCCGCCGAGCCTCACCAGGCGTGGGCGTGCTTTGGGGAAACTCCGTGGACCGAGGAGAAGGACCCTCCGAGGGATTTTAGGAAGGCTGGGACAGGAGTCCCGCAAGCTGTGCCCAGCCTTGACTTTGCTCCGTCTGCTCTGAACCGCGGACGCCGATTCGGAAGAGGAGGCAGCCTTCCTGGCTGGGGGGTAAGAGGGGACCCCCGCCCCGGGCATCCTCGCGCACAACCCCAGAGGGACCCTCTGGGACTCTGAGCTGAATGCATCTATGTGGGGTGTCTGGGACTCTCCCCCAGCAGCAGGAGCTCCCCGGTGCTGGGGCTAGGGTTCCCCCAGGTGTGTAGTGGGCTCTGTCTGGAAGGTCGAACTTGGACGTGGAGGAAGTCCAGCTTCCCCTGCAGAGGGAAACCGAGTCACCAAACGTGGGTGGGGTCCAGCGGCCGCCTGCCCTGTGGGTGATGTGATGGGCTTAGGTGGTCCCCCAGGAGGTCTGGACAGCACCCTCTGCCCAGAATAGCAGCCGCTGTGCCAGTCTGTATATATGCCAGGAGCGAATTCCCGGGAGCCCACTGTTGGCCAAAGCCCCATCTCCGGCACGGTGGTCAGTGTTGTCATGCTGCACACATGATGGACCAGCTGTGCTGGGGCCGCCCCCAGTTAGGAGACAGGGGTGCCTCTCACTGTCCTGGGCCCTGAACTTCAGCTGGAGGGGTCCCCGCCCTGGTGGCCGCTTTTTCCTGACCCTGGGCTGCAGGCTGAGCGTCTCCACCTTGGAGCCTGCCCTTGGAGCCTGCATTGCGCTGGGAGGGGGAGGGGGGCCGAGGGGAGGGGCGGGCAGGCAACGGCAGGGGTAGTGGGGCCTGCAGACCCTGTGCCGTGCTGATGTCATCAGTCTGGGCGACTTCCTGATGCCAGGAACCCTCAGCCTGGTACGGCACAGTACTGCGGCTGCCAGTCTCCCTGCCAAGGACGCAGGAGAGGCAGCTCTCCAGGACACTGGCTGCACCCTGCAGGCAGAGCCCACAGGCCAGCAGAGTTCCCACGGGTCCGCTAGGGACGTGAGAACAAGTAGCGGGCCCAGGTTTTGTGAGGCCCTGGGTGCTGCTGGGGCATCTAGCAGAGCCAGGAAGAACGGGAGTGCCGGAGAGGCGGCCTGGGGAGCCCAGGGACAGGCGCCAAGGAGCTGGCAGGACCCCAGGGCTCCACAGCAGGGCCTGGGCCCTGGCACTCCGCGTGAGCATCTCTGCTTTGCACCTGGTCAAGAGTCAGCCGTTCTTCTCCTGGTCTCATTCCCCGCAGATGCCATGAAGGGTCAGACCCGTCTTTCCTCTCCTGCACTTCACCTCTGACCCTGGCCGCCCCAAGCATGGGGACCAAGCAGCCACAGTGGGAAGATGCCCTGAAGCCACGTGGTCCAAGCCCTGGATCAGAGATAAAGACACAGGGCACAGGGATCCAACAACTTCCCCAAGGACACGGGGAGCTCAGGGCGGGCCTGGGATTCCCCAGGACGTGTTCCGACTTGGCCTGCAGAGTGAGGATCAGGTCACCAGCGCCGGACCCAGCAGGAGCGAGGTAAGGGGATCAGGGAATGCCGAGGGGTCACAGACCTGGGGCTCTAAGAGCCACGGGCAAAACCAACACGCGGCAGCGCTGCTGGGAACTGCATGCCGCCTCAGAGATGTCGGCGGCACCTCTGCTTTATGGCTGTCCCTGGACAAACGCCAGGGGGAGAAAAGACCAGACCGGTCCAGTTCTGCGCCTCTCAGTTCCGGGAAACTGCAGCCCCTGGTGTCTGGCTGTCCAGTGATCCGTGCTGTAATTCAGGATTCTTCCAGCAGAGGGCGCCCGAGGACGCGGGAAGGAAATCTTGCCCGGGCTATGGGACAAGGCAGGAGAGGAGTTTTTGGTTGTATCTGGCCCCGTTGATCAGGGCTTTGTTTCTCCTGAAAACCCAGAAAGTTTACCCAGAAACTGCCTCTGACACTCAGCAGCACCTGTGTCGTCTCTCCCGGGCTCTCCCACGCCTCATGTTCACAGTGCGGCAGCTTTCCTGGTTGGTGCTCGGTTCTTTTTTATTTTAAGGATTTATTTGAAAGGCAGAGTTACAGAGAGACAGAGGTCTTCCATTCGCTGGTTTACTCCCCAAATGGCTGCAACCACCAGGGCTGGACCAGGCTGAAGCCAGGAGCCAGGGACCCCATCAGGGTCTTCCGCAGGGGTGCAGGGGCCCAAGCACCCGGGCCACCCTCCACTGCTTTCCCAGGAGCATGAGCAGGGAGCTGGGCCAGGACTGACTGGTGTCCGTATGGGATGCCGGTGTCACAGGCTGAGACTTTACCTGCTGAGTCACAGCACCAGCCTTTCCCCCATGAATTTTTAAAGATTTATTTATTTATTTATTTATTTGAGAGGCTGAGTTACAGACAGGCAAAGGTCTTCCATCTGCTGGTTCACTCCCCAGATGGCCACAGCGGCCAGAGCTGGGCCTATCCAAAGCCAGAAGCCAGGAGCCAGGAGCTTCTTCTGGGTCTCCCACATGGGTGCAGGGGCCCAAGCACCTGGACCATCTTCCACTGCTTTTCCAGATCACTAGCAGAGAGCTGGATTGGAAATGGAGCAGCCAGGACTCGAACCAGAACCTTTATTTGATGCTGGCCCCGTAAGCAGAGGCTTAGCCCACGATGCCACAGTGCCGGCCCCTTTCATGAATTTTTAAAAGCCCCTCATTTGGATGGATCTCAAAGTTTTCTTATAGCAAAATAGGCATCTTTAATTCCATTTTCCATGAACTTTTTGAAGTGTCCTTATATATGTTCCAAATAATAATGTTTAAATTATTTATTTTAGTTATTTGAAAAAGAGAGGGAGATCGCTCATTTGCTGCTTCACTCTCCAAATGCCCGCAGCACCTGGGGCCTGGCCAGGCTGAACTCAGTTCCTGTCTCCTGAGTGGGTGGCAGAGACCCAGTACTTGGCCATCACCTGCTGCCTCCCAGAGCTGCTCTCGTGGAGCTGGGACCCAAACCTTGGCACCCTGATGTAGGATGTGGGCTCTTTAAACCACCGTGCAAAACATCTGTTCTCCGCCAAAAAAAAATTCCTGATAATACCTCTCCTTTGTTTCAGGATTTATTTATTTGAAAGTCAGAGTTACACAGAGAGAGAAGGAGAGGCAGAGAGAGAGAGAGAGAGATCTTCCATCCACTGGTTCACTCCACTATTGGCCTAGACGGCTGGAGCTGTGACTATCTGAAGCCAGGAGCCAGAAGCCAGGAGATTCCTCCAGGTCTTCCACATGGGTGCAGGGGCCCAAGCACTTGGGCCATCTTCTACTGCTTTCCCAGGCCATAGCAGAGCTGGATCAGAAGTGGAGCAGCCGGGACTTGAACCGGTGCCCATATGGGATGCCGGCACTGAAGACGGCAGCTTTACCCACTACAGTGTCGGCCCCAGGATTTATTTATTTATTTGAGAGGCAGAATGTCAGAGGGAAGAGGGAGACACAGAAGGAGAGAGGAGAGAGAGAGAGAGAGAGAGAGAGAGAATCTTCCATCTGCCGGTTCACTCCTCAAAGGCCACAGCAGCCAGGGATGGCCCACACTGAAGCCAGGAGCCTGGCACTCCACTTGGGTCTCCCACTTGGGCGGCAGGGGCGCAGGCCCTAGGGGCAGTCTTCTGTCTCCCCAAGCGCGAGAGCAGGAAGCAGGATTGGAAGCAGAGCAGCCAGGACTTGAGCCGGCGGCTCTGATGTGGGATCCCAGCATCCCAAGGGGTAGCTGAGCTGGCTGCCTCCATCGTTTAGTTCAACCCAACTAGAATGTGGGGCACCCACTGGCCCCCAAAGAGAATCAGGGCTGTGAGGATGCACACAGAGTGTCAGGTGCGTCCACCTCCCAGAATCCACGGCGTTTCAGCCTCTGACAGCAGGTGCAAGGCATCGAGCAGTGAGGGTCCAGGGCCCAGCGGCAGGGCTGACCCTCAGCCTCTGCCTTTTCCTCCCTCCTCTTTGTCCCGAGTCCTGGTGAAGAACAGAAGCCGGACGTGGTGTTCAGTATCATTCCCAGTAAGCTGCGCAGTTCTATTGTATTTGGGGTGTGAGAGAGAGAGAGAGAGAGAGAGAGAGAGAGAGAGAGAGAGAGAAAGCCTGCATTTTTCTAATGCCATCTTGGCATTCCTTCCTTTTGTGACACCCCAGGTCCCCTGAGACGTGGCAGTGGCCCGGGTGTCTCACGTCCCAGAGAGACCCCGGCTGCCCGCACGAGGCCCCGCCCACTGCGGCCGAGGCCACCTTGCCTCGCAGCCTGAAACCTCGGCTTCCCCCTGGGTGACCGACCTGCTTATTTCACAACAGGGAGCGGATCCTTTTTTGTTTTAAGTACTAATCTGGCTTTGTAGGCCTAAGATAGGGCTGGCTCAGGGTAAAACTGAGGTGGGCGGAGCCTGTCCTTGAGCACCCCCATCCCAGGCTGCCCAGGCCGCCCCAGGCCCCCAGGAGCCTGGGAGCCAGGCTCATGCTGCATCCTGCCGCTCTCTATTCTGCCTTGAGAGGGCGCAGTCTGCTGGGCACAGCGGTGTCCATGGTCCCTGCTAACTTGCAAGGGCCCCAGGCCTCACCCAGGCACTGCGGGCGTGGCCTTTACTCCAGGGCGGGCGTTGGCACGAGGCCAGGCAGTCTGCAACCACCTCGCAGGGGCCCCGGTCCTGCACTGGGTGCGGCTTCCACACCGCTCTGCCGTTTTGCTTCTTCAGCTCCCCTCAGTTGCTTGGCAGCTGGCATCCCAAGGCACGCGGGAGCGACGGACGGCTCCAGCCACAAAGCCCTGTGCGTCCCCTGTGTCCCTCCAGCCAAGAATCAGTGGCTGCAGGTACGAACGGGGCAGGATGGAGGGCTGGCGCTGACAAGGCGGGTGGAGGAACAGGCATCGCGATGGACAGGTCACTGTGTGTGTCCAAGTCCAAGTGCATTCCTGCATCCCCCCCCCCCCCCAGCTCTCTGCCTCTCTGCCGTCCTTTGGATGTAGCCCAGATGGCCAGCCCCTTCCACCCTGTGCCTCTGACATTGGCTCAGCCTCATTCCCTCAGCACCCACTGCTCCCAGACTTGAGCCCTGCATGGCGTCCTATGCACCCACCGGTGCCCGGATGACCCCTGTTCTATCCAACAGTCTGCATTCCCTGATGGCCAGCCTGGGCTTCCTTCTCCTGGGTGTGTGCCTCCTCTGAGTAAGCAATAGTGACTCTGTGAGAAAGGGAGTTCTCGATCAGGAGAGAACTGTCCCTTTCCCCCTCCACTGTGCTGTGGCTGTAGGAAATGAGAATCAGAAGGAGGGACCTCCGCACTCCCCAAGGACCACTGCTGTTCCTCTGGGGACCCAGGATGGAACCTGCTCATTCCAGCCTCTGCTTCTCCCTTGCTGTTGCTGCTGCCAACAGTGGAGACCCAGGAGGGCGGAGGGCAGGCCCCTGCGTCGTGCCTCAGTTGCTGTGGTTCCGTTGGCCCCAGGGAGAGGGAAAAGACTTGGAAAGCTTCCGCTGCATAGGAACAGAGGCCAACATTGTGACCGGGGAGCGGGGAGAGCCCGGCTGCTGCAGACCGGGCCCGGGGCTCAGCCATTGTCTGGTGTTTGACCTCAGCACCTGGGCCATTTGCGATTCTATGACACATGCAGGAGCCCAGGGGTGGGTGTTGGCTCTCGGAGTCTGAGGGTCCAGCGAGCGGCCGTGGCCGCAGGTGCTGATTTCGGAGCGGTCAGTGTGCAAGTGGCACAGATGTGGTCACATCAAGTCCAGAGTGTTTTTTGGTCCAGTGTAGCCTGACAACAGCCCAAGCTGCAAGCCAAAAGGGATCGGCCAAGCCAGGAGCAGGAAGGCCGGGTTCCCTGAGTAACAGAGAGTGAGGAGAGTCACACAGAATCACCGTGTTCCAGGGAAGTTTCTGGAAGAGTTGTGCATATTTAAAAGGGAGCCTGCCCGTGAAGTTATCCCGTGGTTACAAGCATTCTGGACCCACTTGGGGGTGATCTGGCACTAGCACACGGGGTGTTGGCTTCCTGGGTCGGAAGGTGACATCACAGCTTCTGTGCAGGCTCCTGGGACTGGTCACAGCTGGACCGGGACTGGCAGCTCCCTGCTGAGCAGAGTCAGCTGTTGTGCTGTGTCTGGGGGCTGCAGACAGCAGCCCCCTCCCCCTCCACTCCAGCCCTACGGGGAGTTGAGTCTAGTCTTCTTTCCTCTGGCCCACAGCTCCTTACTCCCCACGGGGAGTGGCCTTGCGTGGCAGACAGTGCTTTTAGCCTTGAACTTGGCCTGACTCAGAGCCGCTGTGGCCTCCCAACTGCAGGATTCCTTCAGTCCAGTCAGCCCTGATCTTCTCGTGCATGACAGGTCCCTGGCGAGCCTAGACTTATGGACGGGACGAGGACCTCCAACGGGTGCACAGTAAGACGGGGTGGAGGCACATCCCATGACGGGAAGGGCCCGTTTCCTTGGAGGGAAGCACCTTGGAAGCCTGAGTTCTCTTTGGCTTTATGATGTGGATGGACTCGAGACAAAGGTGGGGGGTACGGCTCCGTGGGGAGCCCTTTGCGAGGAGAGGGGCAGGGTAAGATGAGCGAGAGCACCGGACTGAGTGGCCACTGCTGGTTTGTCCGTCTCAGCAAGCGTTTCCACAGCACTTACTGTGTGCTCAGCTGTTTTAGATGCTGAGTCAGCAACGAGCACAAACTAGGTGCTGCCCGCATGGAGCTTCCATGCTGTGGTTGTCAGGGGGATGCACGGACCGACCCGAAAGCAAGTAGGTGGATGGGCGCGGTGTGGAAGGCCTTGTCCATCAGGTGATGTTCGGTCACAGACAGGGAGGAAGCCGGGGGCAGGCGCTGTGGGTGTCTGCAGAAGCAGCTGTCCAGACAGGGGCAACAGCAGGTGAAAAGGCCCTGAGGTGGGACGGCGCCTGCTGCATCCCGGGCTCAGCAAAGAGGCTGGAACAGAGGGCGGAGAGAGAAACGGGGCTGGGGGTAGTGGGGAGCCAGATCCTTGGAGCTGTCAGGCCACGGAAGGGACTTGGGCTTTGACTCTGAGCGAGCTAGGAGGCGTGCAGGGTTTGAGCGGCGCAGTGCTGTGACTGGCTTCACTCCACATCCATGGATCCGGCGCTATGCACAGAACAGACTTTGCCAAGTGAGGGCGCTGTGATGGTTGTCCAAGCTGGAGCAGAGTAGCGATGCAGGCAGGAGCAGAAGCAGGACTATGAGGAGACAGCAGGGAGGCATTTGGGCTCCCGTGTACTTTGGGGGTGCGTTCAGCAGGCTGGGTGATGCGCTGGGTGCAGGCGTCCAGGGTGGCCTGGGGCGTGCAGAAAGGAGGGAGTTGCGTCTTCGGAGACGGGAGCCTCCAGCGGGGCCGGCGGCTGCAGCCGAATCCGGGCTTCCGTGATGACACTGACATGACTGTGGCACACCCACAGCCTTCCCGGTGGCACTCGGCTGTCCGAGTCGGGAGCCTGGGGAGGGGCGTAGCTGTGGACGTGGACGTGGTCGGGGAGCAGACGCACTGGCGGCCGTGAGTCTGGGTGAAGTCACCCAGGGAGGTGGAGGGAGAGTGAGTGGAGGCGGGGTCTGCAGGCCAAGCCCTGGGGTCCTGCAGCCCAGCAGGAGGGGCTGGAGAGGAACCAGCAGAGGCGACTGAGGAGCAACTGGAGAAGTGGCTGAGAACTAAGAGGGGGGGAGTTCCAGGGATCAGGGAGGGTGTCCAGTGAGGCTGATGGGGCACAAACTGACCATTGCCCACCACATCTGGGAATATGCAGGCCCCTGGTGACCTTGCCAAGTTCATGTAGGGCAGTGGCCAGTGTCAGGCAGCGCCGCCTCCTTAGGACCCAGCGGGCAGGAACGAGAAGACTCAGGACAGGCGGCCGGCAGGGTCTGCAAAGCCAGCCCTTCTACCCCGAGTTTCAGCGGCTGCCCATCATGGTGTCCGCCGTGGTGGCAGAGCCAGCCTCCAGGCCCTCGGGCCTTGCAAGGTCCTTCGCGGGTGGCAGGTGCAGAACAGTGCTGGGGCCCCTTTCTCTGGATGCCCCTCAGCCACGCAGCGGCCACAGCCCAAGCTCGACCTCTCTGAGCTCCGGCTGGACTCCAGGAAGACTCTGCGAGCTGCATTGTGCGGCTCAGCAGCCACAGCCCCATGGGCTCATACAGCAACAGACTGAATTTTAACTTTTGGATCCATGCGAACGGTTCCATGTGGCTAGTAGCTGCCCTCCTGGACGGCAAAGGCACAGAGCATCCCCACCACAGACAAAACTTTGCCAGATGACACCTCGATATTTTAAACTCAGCTGGGAGGGCGGGGGCAGGGAGGAGACAGGGAATCTTCTGAAATTGCAAGAATTTTGCGCAATGTAGGTTGCTTTTCATTTTCTCCTGGAAAAGGGTGAACTAGCTTTCTTCAGATTCCCGAAGGGTTATGGGACGCAAGAAGGGTTCAGACGGGTAACAGACATAGTGACGTGCTGTGTATACCGTGGTGCATGCTATGTGCACGCGTATATCATACGAGCTTAATACTCGTGTGTGCTGTGTAGCACCTGCAGAAGAGAGCTTACCTTTCACTTAGCAAGAGCTCCCTCTGACCCCAAGCTTGCGCTTAGGGAGGGCAGTAGCCAGGGCTGCTGCCCCTCATGAAAAGACCACGAGGGATGCCGGGAAGGAGACAGGCATGGGGCACTGAGGCCTGGGGCGGGGGGGGGTTGGATCCCTTTCCTGTCCCTCCAGCTGGTTCTAGACCTGGGACCAGGGCAGCTGCAGCGGGTGCAGGGGTGCGTGCTTGGCCTGACGGTGGAGCAGATCCTGGGGCTCACAGGGGTCCATTGTCTAAGGCTCCGCGCCTTCGGCCACAGGACAGAGCTTGGGTTACCATGGGGTTTAAACAAGGTGAGAGCTGCAAAGCCCTTAGGCCTGGCCAGAGGAAATGCAAGCGTGTTTGTTGAATGATCCAGCACAGCCCGTAGACTGTCAGTAACTGTGTCCCTCAAAAGCTCTGCGGGCAGCAATGGGGCTGGACTAGAGGCTCAGCCTCCGCCAGAGGGAGAGCCCGCAGTCTGGCTGACCTGGGCATCCCAGCCCTCTTTAAGGGGACAGTGGGGGGCTCCAGTTCAGCAGCCTCTGGGTGAGTGGGAGCCACTGGGATTGCTTTGGGGAGGAGGGCATTCTTGGGAGGGGACAATGTCCTTCCCACAATCCTTAGCACTAGAGCTGGGAGTTGTCTCCACCACCGGCCCTACTTCCGACTGAAGCTGGAGATATGGGATGGAGCAGTTTTGTGTGGTTATGAACACGTAGGCATCGAGCAGGCCCGGGCACGTCTCAGTTCCTTGTGCAGGAGGTCAGGGAGTTTCCATGAGACACAGCGAGAATGGAGGGGTGTCCCCCATGCCTGCCGCCTTGGTCACATGGTGCCCTGTGTGTCCGGTGCAGTGGCCAACTGCCATGCCTTTGGGGTGCAGTAGAGGCATAACTCGGCATCCAGGCCTGTGCCGATGAGCCTATAACCTAAGTCAATTTGAGGCTCAGTTTACCATCTACTGGACGGGGGTTTGCCAGAGCTGCCAGAGGATGAGACAGTCTGTAATACACATGAGTGTGCAACATTTATATCACCTACAAATAGTAGCTAGGTAATATATACGGACTGTAGGTTACGTATCTGTTAACTAACTGATCGCTAAGTATCTCTGCTCAGTTTGGAAAAGGGTTGGTTGGAGAAAAAAGTCAGAGAGTGATTTTAGGGGCTGGAGAATGACCCGAAGGCGATGTTGGGTTAAAATACGCAGCCATCACAGTCCTGAGCAAACGCTTACAGTCATTCTCCCCTCTGCACAGTGTTCTGACTTCCGGCACTCATTTGCTGGTTTTAATCTGGGAGTGAACGCTTCACCAACCCAAGTCCAGTTGGGCTTCTGTATTCAGAGATGATGGGGCCTTCAAAGCACGAGCGAGCCGGGCTTCCCAGAGCTCCTTCCACATACGTGTGCCACGTGCACACACGCATGACCCCGCCTGGCCGTCACCCCACCAAGTGATTCGTTGCTGTCAGGGCTTCAGTGAACACGCCCTGACTCCCCCAGACCTCTGTCTCTTCCAGCATCTGGGTCCCCGCCCTGTGCACCTGCTGTCTTGCTTGCAGAAGGGGAAAGAGAGAGAGTGCCTGGGCCTCTTGCCTGTGTGCCTCTGCTGCCACCACAGCCAGGGCCCCAGCAGGGACAGGCTGCAGCCACAGGGTGCCTGACCTCCCTGCTACAAGCTATCAAGATGGGATGGGATGGCTGCAGTTAGGGGCTCCCGGGCAACCAAGTGGGTCCACACACATCTGTGTAAGCCCATAAGGAAGAATGGGGCTCGCCCCCCAGTTTTTTTTTTTTTTTTTTTTTTTTTTTTTACAGGCAGAGTGGACCATGAGAGAGAGAGACAGAGAGAAAGGTCTTCCTTTGCCGTTGGTTCACCCTCCAATGGACGCCGCAGCTGGCGCACTGAGGCTGGCGCACCGCGCTGATCCGAAGCCAGGAGCCAGGTACTTACCCTGGTCTCCCATGGGGCGCAGGGCCCAAGCACTTGGGCCATCCTCCACTGCACTCCCTGGCCACAGCAGAAAGCTGGCCTGGAAGAGGGGCAACCGGGACAGAATCCAGTGCCCCGACCGGGACTAGAACCTGGTGTGCCGGCGCTGCAAGGCAGAGGATTAGCCTAATGAGCCGCGGCGCCGGCCACCCCACAATGTTTTGGCCAACACTGTGGCATAGAGGGTGAGGCCGCCACCTGCAGTGCCGGCATCCCATATGGGCACCGGTTCGAGTCCCAGCTGCTCCACTTCCGATCCAGCTCTCTGCTATAGCCTGGGAAAGCAGTAGAAGGTGGCCCAAGTGCTTGGGCCCCTGCTATCCATGGGGGAGACCTGGAGGAAGCTCCTGGCTCCTGGCTTCGGATTGACATAGCTCCGGCAGTTGCAGCCAACTGGGGAGTGAACCAGTGGATGGAAGACCTCTCTCTCTGTCTCTCTCTCTGCCTCTCCTCTCTCTGTGTAACCTGACTTTCAGGTAAATGGATAAATCTTTTTTTTTTTTTTTAAAAAAGGAGGAATGAGGCTTACCCCCAACTTTTTTAAGGTCTATTTATTTATTAGAAAGTCAAAGTTACAGAGAGGAAGGAAGGTAAGGAGGGAGGGAGAGAGAGAGGGGGAGAGAGAGAGAGAGAGAGAGAGATCTTCCATTCACTGGTTCATTCCCCAGATGACCACAATGCCAGGGTTGGGCCAGGATGAAGCCATGAGCCAAGAGCTTCATTTGAGTCCCCCACATGGGTAGCAGGGGCCCAAGCACTTGGGCCATCATCTGCAGCTTTTCCCAGGCTCATTAGCAGGGAGCTGTGTCAGAAGTGGGGCGGCAGGGACAGGGACCGGTGCTCACGGGATGCCAGCATTGCAGGCAGCAGCTTAACCTGCTTACACCACAGCACGGCCCCCACCCTTCCCTGCACCTCTTTGAACCTGAGATCCACCTACCCCCAGTCTCACTCTCGTACAGCGTGTGGCCTTCGGCAGATGGTAGAACATCACAGCGCCGTGCAGCAGCACCACTGTGCAGCTCAGGGACTTTTTCATCCTCCTTTTAAATTCTCGCTTTTGGACACGATGGAGACCCCAGTCCTGGGTTCCTGGCTGGGCCTTCCCATGGATTCGGACCTGGAGGTTTCTCAAACACTTCATTGCGTTCATTTTTCTCGTCGGGGGCAGGAGGCCAAGCAGGCGCCAACCCGCTCTGGGCCTCTGTGGTTAAACTCAGTGCCCGAAGGCTTCCTGGAGGATGTGGGAGCTCTCCATGCTGCAGCTCCCTTTCTCCAAACACAGCTCCAGCTCTCAGGTGAGGGGTGTGAGTGGAGGCGGGTGGACCTCAGACGCTGGGTGGCCCCAGAGTCCTCACACCTGGCCAAGCTAGGGCACGACAGACCCGCACAAATGGACAGACCTTTGCGAACCAGTCCTTGTTTATACAGACACCCTTAAAGGTGGAAGAACAAATAAGGCCTGGACCTGGTGTGACCTTTCTGGAGGGTGCGGGCAAGAATTGGCTTATGTCCATCTCCAAAGTGTTGATTTGACTGCTAACTGCTTGGGTCAAGGCAAGTGTTAGAGGTTCTGAAGAAGAGCAAGGAGGGGCGCTCCGAGGGAAGTGGTCCCACGTGTGCACCTGCACGGGGCAGGGAACCAGCGCTTCCTTAAAGCCTGGCACCCGGTAGCTGCTCCACTACGGTGAGCAACTCCGGCACCGGATGCTGTGTGGTGCTGTCCACTCACTCAGTCCACAGTATTGTGGCATCCCTCCCACGCACCTGACGCTGTCTGATACACAAGGACGCAGCTCGGAGAAGCTAAACAGTTCGCTAAGCTGAGGCAAGACAGCAGCGGGGGCTTGGTGGTGTGACGGCTTGGGTCTGGTGCTGGGGCTGCCCGTCCTCCCTGGGATGCTAGCCAAGTTTCACCTTTCCGTCCTCAGGTTCCTCACCTGTAAATGGGGCAGTGCGAGTACTGATCCCAAAGGATTGTTTGAAGACGGGATGAGCTTCTCTGAGGGAGGGTTAGGGTGGTATGTGGCACACTGAGAGCCCTTGGAGCGTGCGGCTATCACAGACTGAGCTCCCCGGTCCAAAACGCTGAAATGCTCCAAAATGCAAAATGTCTTGAGCACCAACATGATGTCACGAGTGGAAGATTCCACACCTGACCTCATGGGACATGTCACACTTGAAAGCAGGTGCACTAAAAATACTTCGCAAAATTACCTTCGGGCTCTGTGCATAAGGTACGGATGGGAAGTGCCGGGATTTTGCGTTTAGAATCGATCCCACCCCCCAAGGTATCTCTTTATGTTTGCGGACATTCCAAAATCTGAAATCCAAAGCACTGCTGGTTGCAAGCATTTCGGGTAAGGGATCTGCCAGCCAGGGTTGGCACCCACTTCCACAAGAGCAGAGAGGCTTTGCTTGCTTGCGGGTGCTCTGCCCTGTGTGGCGGGCACCTGGGGTGACGGTGGCCGTGGAGGGAGGCAGGGCGCTGCAGGGGTGCGGAAGGGCGGGCAGGACTGCAGCCGCCCCCGCCACTGAGCCTTCTCACCTGAGGCTGGCTCACGGCTTCTCTAGGACTCTCCTAGAATCCTCGCAGCCTATGGACACCATGGGCTCCGCACACGCTCATCTCTGCCCGCTCCGGGCGTCTCATCCCTGGAAAGGGGCAGCTCCTACCTGGCTTCTTCTGGTTCCCTCCAGTGCGCCCGAACGTGCGAGCAACCCCGGCCGGCACTCGCCTTCTTGCCGTGGCTCGCGCTCTCCCCTGTCGTTGGTGCACACCGAGGCGATGCGGCCGCGCGGCGGGGACCGGCAGCCTGTGAGTGTGCGTGCATGCGCGCGCGTCTGCAAGGAAGGCTTGCTTCCGATGAAGCAGCTTCTGTCCTGGGACAAACCCGGGTTAGAAACGCGCAGGGGGCTCAGGGCGTCTCTGCCGCTTCAGACCTTAGCGCCGTGGGCCCGAAGGCAGCTTGACCTGGAATGGGCCCAGGTGGGCGCCGGCTCCAACGGGGTGGATCCGCAATGGCTGGGGGCGGCGTGGTGAGTGGGAACCCTCTTCCCGGGGCGGGGGGTCTTCAGGGCAGCCCCCAGACAGACCGCCGCGCGCCCGGGACAGCATGCGCACCGCGAGAAACCGGAGGCGCGCGCCGCTCCGGCTGCCCCAGCTCCTCCCTGCAGCTCCGCGCTCTGGACCCGTGTCCGAGTTTGCGTCCCCGGACCTTTAAGGCCGGTGCCTGGGCTGCGCCCCGCACCCTCCGCTGAGCCCCGCCCCGCCCCGCTCAGGGTCCCCCGCCCTGAGCGCCCGGCTCCGGAGCGCTGTGCGCCGGCCCTGTCCGCAGCTGAGCTCCGTGTTCCAGGACGCGCGGAGGGCCGGGTCACCCCAGCTTCGCCAGGACTTGGGGGCGCGGTGAGTGGGGGCGGGGCGCAGGGGCGGAGGGCGGTGGCCGCGGCGGGGTGCCGGTTCCTGGCACTGGAAGTCCTTCCCGTTCCCCTGAATCCGGGGCTGTGCGCGGGACCTCTGAGCTCTCACTGCGCCCGGGACGTGGGCCGCTTCTCCCCGGGTCCTGGGAGAGGTCCGTGGGCCGGGCGACGCGGGGAGCGTCCCCCGAGGACCTGCCTGCTCTTGGGCAGCTCCTTTTCGGGGTGGGAGGGGCGCGAGGCTGGGGAGCTCAGGACGTCGGCCCCGGAGGTGAACTTGGCCCTCTGGCCTTGGGAGCAACGACCCCGCGGGCAGCGGCGGGGGACCCAGGGCCCGGCGGGACGGAACCGCCTGTCCGCGGCGCGCCATCTCCCAGCCCGTGCGCCCCGGTTCTGGGCGACTCGCAGGCCCCGCACTTCCACCGACGTGACCCCAGCGCCCGCCGCACAGGGGCGGGATCCCGCGCGAGCCGGCGCCGCCCCCGCCCTCCCCGCCTTCCCCCCACCTGGGCCCTTTGGCTTCCCAGGTGGAGGAGATGCCGGCGCCCCGTCTGTCTGGGGCGAGCCCAGCTCCGCGGATCCAGGGCTGGGGAGGCGCGGGTGCCGCCCCAGGGCCGGGCGCTGCTGGCTGGAGGGAGGCCGCGGCCGCGGGCCGTGCCTGGACTTGCCTGGGCTTGTTCCGAGCCGGCTGCTCCCCTCGGTGACCACAGAGATCGGGGCCCTCGGAGCCGCGGCGAGCGTGGGAGCCATGCCCGGAGGCAGGAGCGGCCGGGGAGCCCGCGCGACCTGCTCGCGCCGTCCGAGATGAGCTCAGGTAACCGCGCGCTTCTCGGTCTGGGTGAAAGTTTGGCAGGATGGAGGCCGGGCGAGAGCGGCAGTGGTGAGGGAAACCCGGGCCCCTGCCGTGGCCGCCGTGGCCCCGCGATTTTCCAGGAAGCAATAGAATGCCCTTTAAGTTCCTAGTCTCTGGGGAGCAGGGGGTTCCTCCTTTCTCTCGGGTCTAGGAGCGGGGACATGCGGGCGCTGGCTTTCCCGCGCCGCCTACCCGAGCCACGGGAGCAAACACCCCATCTCCCCGGGGTCCTGGCACTGGGGCATGGATCCCGGCCACCCGAGGTTAAGGTGGAAAAACTCTCAGGAGACATGGGGAGCGCCGTGGGCACTGTGGCAGTGTTGGGTAAGAAGTCGGGTTTCCTGTGCGCCAGAATTAGCAGGTGGACAGGAGCGCCCCCCGCCGGCCGCTGCCCCCAGCACGGTCCCGCGGCCAGGCTGGGTGGAGACTGCCAGAGAGGGAGGAGGCCCTTGGAGCCAGGCCTCATCGCCTAGGTGGGGAGGATGTAGCTGGTGGCACTGATTAACAACGCCCCCGCCTCCCTGGGCCCAGGACCCGGAACGTGCACCCTGTGACACATCCACTCGGCTCCTGAACCGGGGAGTGCCTGGGCTGCCTGCCTCGGTGCCTGTGCAACTCTTTTAGTAGATGTCAGACGTCACAGCCTGGGTGCAGAATGTCCTGTTTTAAGTTATGAGGGTCCAGTTCTGCCCCTGCCCCCAGTTCTGAGATATTAGGGACGCACGTCCCCCCACCCCAAGCCTGTGTGCTCTCCATCATGAGCCAGTAGGGCTGAGCAGCAATGAGTGGCCGGCCTGAGGCTGAGCGCAGGCGCCTGTGGTTGTCAGCTTCCCCGTGTGTGTCTGTCTGCATCAGCGCGCACTCTGCACCTGTGCCAGTCGGTGGCCCATGTCCTGGGCGTCCCCAGCCCAAGAGCTGGCCAGGGGTTGCCTTGCTGGGCCCTGCCAGAGGCTCCCCAGGCTGACAGGCGGGGCAGACACAGCTCTGCACCCCCACTTCCTACTCTGAGCCCTTGCATGCTGGCGCCCCCCTCCAGGTCCCTGTCATCACAGCACCCAGGCAGCACTCTCTGTTGATGGTGTCACCTGTTGGAGTTGGGAGTTGGAGGATGCCGGGGCAAGCCAGGTGATCAGATCAGCGCCCTAGAAGATCACCAGGCCGGGCCCAGTCCGTGCACTGCACAGTGAGTCACTGAATCTGGTGCAAGGACAAAGCTTTCAGGCCGAGGGCTCAGTGCGTGCACAAGCCCAGTGTTGGGCAAGCTGGCGAGGCTGCAGGTGGACCTGCATGGCCCTTGGCCGTGAGGATCAGAGGGGTGCATTTGACCCTCAACTGTGCCTGGCTGGCAGGGCCTTCTTCCAAGAGTACACAAATCAGCGCTGCAGCTACCACCGCCCGTGTGTGCTGTGTGTGTGTGAGAGCCGCTGGGGTGCCGGGCAGGTCATTCCTGCACCTGGTACGGCTCACAGTTCTCCTTTTGTAAGGTGCCTCAGGACCCCACAGGGTCCCCGGGGTTCTGGCCTGGATGCAGGTTTAAGTTAAAGACCTTCCTTCCAGCCGCATCTCTGTTACTGTCTGTGAACTTGGAAATGAGACTTGACCTTCCTGGCTGTGGTTCCGGGTCTATGAATTTAATGCATGTGTATATTTAATGAATATATATATATATTCATTTTATTTCTAAGAAAGGCAGGGAGACAGAGAGGGAAAGAGAGAGATATTCCCTTCTCTGGTTCACTCATTCCCCAAATGTCTACAACAGCAGAGCTGGGCCAGGTGAAAGCCAGGAGCTGGGAATGCCATGTGGGTTTCTGACATGAGTGGCAGGGACCGCAGTACTTGGACCATCACCTGTTCCTCCAGGGTGTGCATTAGCAGGAAGCGAGGACTGGAAGCAAAGTAGCTAGGATTAGAACCTCGGCACTCCAATATGGGGTGCAGGCATCCCAGGGGGCAACTTAACTGCTGCGCCAAACGACCGCTCCCATGTCTATAAATCTGAGCTTCTGCGAGGACCTGCTGCGCTGAGGCGTGGTGCAGAGCCGCCAGCTGCTGTGGCTGCTCTCGGGCAGCAAAGCACGAAGCTTCCATCACTGCAATACGCTCCCTAAATTGGAAGAGCCCTCCTCTATGCCAGTACCAAACAGGGGGCTTGGGGGGTTTTTGGTTGGCTGCATTTTTGCATTGCAAATATCTCTCCCTTCCCCTTCCTAAAAATTGGTGCTTTCATTTTTTAAAAAACTAACAAGTATTGCAAATATGCAAACGGAATAAAACGCCTTGGCTTGAGGTAAAAATGAAAAAAGATCTGTGAAGGGGTCCATTTTGACTGCGGCGTGCAGTCACTGGGGTGCACCCAGCTCCATGTCCCCAGCTGTGGGTTGGGGTAGCTGGGGCAGGCAGAGGGCACCTGCCTGGGAATGCTTGGGGGGCAACAGTGGCCTCTGACTCAGCCCTCCAGCCCCCCCTCGCCTGGCACAGGGCTGGCAGCCCCAGGCAACTTCCCATTGCCTCCCCTAGACAGAGGGTACATCCTGGTTTAGGAGGCTGTGTCACACCTGTGCTAGGAATCAGCTCAGTGCGACAGGTTGGCAAGCACTCCCTCCCCCATCCCAGCATGGATTCTAAGCTGCTGTGTTCAGTTTCGACAACATGAATTTAAATAGAGCTCCAGTGCCAATGGCTAAGCCTCTGGTCGCTGCACCAGCACTGCAGGGTGCAGGTGAGTGTCCCACACCACATGCTGGGTAGGGGCCCCTCCTCCCCACAGCAGGTGGAAACCCTCTCCTGCAGCCCGGACTCCCTCCCAGGGAGCTGCTGCTTTTTTTTTTTTCTTTCAAAGATTTATTCTTTATTTGTTTGGCAGAGTTAGGGGGAGAGAGAAAGAGAGAGAGAGAGCGAGCAAGAGAGCGCTTCCATCCACTGGTTCACTCCCCAAATGGCTGCACCGGCCAGAGCCGGGCCAGTTGGAAGCCAGGAGCCAGGAGCCTCTTCCAGGTTCCCCAAGCAGGCGTGGTCTTCGGTGCTGCTAAGCATCTCTTGACGCATTTTCCTAGCCTGGAATAAGCCGTTCCCATCCTGCCCCCATGCCAGCGTCACACGAGGATCACACGAGACAGTCATGTGTCCCCCTGGACCCCCGTCCCAGGCTCCAAACCACAGGTGCAAAGACAGGGCGGGGACCAGCATGAATGCACAGACAGCGAGCGCTATTGCTGTCCGCCCAGCGCTGTGCAGTGCGACCTCACTGAACCCCTGGAGCAGCGCGGCGCTGCTGTTGCTCCCATTTTCACGTGCGAGGAAGTGGAGGGTTTTACTGCACAGAACCGGCTTGGGCGTGGTCAGGGCAGAACCCGGCGTGCGGCGTGACTCAGTCTGCGTCAGCACCACTCTGCTGCCTTCCAGGAGGAGGCAGCAGGCCTGGCCCTGCGGGGGGACCTGAAATGGGCATGGGGGTGCTTTGGGGAGCACAAGCCGTGTAAGAGTTAGGGGCAGGGGCCGACACCCTCCTGACATCACCGCTGTGCTTGGTTCTACCGATGCCTGCCAGGTGACCACGGACTCCGTGGCCTGGGAACACACCTGTGTTATCTCACAGCGTCTGGGCACAGTGTAGCTGGGTCCTGCACCAGGCTGTTATCAGGTTCTCAGCCAGGCCTGGGGGTCATCTGGTGACTCACTAGGGAAGGGTCCCCTAGGAAATGCACTCGGGTGGTTGGCGGGATTCCTCTCTGATCGGACCACTGAGGCCCGTGGCTTCTTGCTGGCTGGTGGCCAGGGGCTGCTCCAGAGCCCCTGTAGCCCCTGGCCCTGCAGCCCCGCCCTGGGGTCTCCCACGACATGGCGGCTCACTTCTCTGCAGCCAGCAAAGGGAGCATCTCTAGTGCGAGTATGAGAGCAAGAGGGGGTCTTAGGTGCCACGAACCCAGGGTGGCATCCCCCGTCCCAGGCCACGTTCTGTGGGCTGGAAGTCGAGCACTGGTTCCCCATACTCACAGGGAGGGCCCCCGTGGGGTCCGCCCCCAGACTCTGGTGCTCTGTGCGGCTCCTCTGTCCTTGTGTTTTCTTCACATCAGTGACTTCCAGCTCACAGGAAGAGTGAGGACAGTGACGCCTTTGCTGATGCCCTGGGTGTGAGGACCTGCGGGGTCCTGCGCACATCTGTGGCTGAATGGGCCTGGGGATTGTTTTTTAAGATTTATATTTATTTATTTAACAGGAAGAGTAAGAGTGAGAGGGAGAGACAGAGAGAGAGGTCTTCCATCTGCTAGTTCACTCCCCCAAATGGCCACAATGGCCGGAGCTGGGTGGGTCCAAAGCCAGGAGCCAGGAGCCAGGAGCTTCTTCCAGGTCTCCCATGTGGGTGCAGCGGCCCAAGAACCTGGGCCATCTTCCACTGCTTTCCCAGGTCATAGCAGAGGGCTGGATCGGAAGAGGAACTGCCAGGACTAGAATTGGTGCCCATACAGGGTGCCAGCACCACAGACAGAGGATTAACCCACTGCAGCACAGCGCCGGCCCTGGCCCTGGGGGTTTTATAAAAGACAGATTGGGTGAGGGAATCTTGAGGCAGAATCAGCAGAGGGAAGAGAGGGGCAGGTGAGGGGTTTACACGTTCCATGGGAACTCTCAGATTCATCCGTCTCTTCGTTTATTCCTTCCTTCCTTCCTTCCTTCCTTCCTTCCTTCCTTCCTTCCTTCCTTTATGTGTTCACATATCCGGTGCACTCAGTTGAATTCTTTTCATGTCTTGTGCTCCGTGCAGTGCTGGGGGCTGACACAGACCTGGCTTATTCCTGCAGTGTCCAGACAGACATAATAGGAGAGGGTGGGACGGGTGGGACGGGTGGGACACCCTCCCCCTGGCTTCACTGCCTGGGGCAGGGGATGGGGGACTGGGGACAAGCAGGGAACCGTGTGTGAGGACAGAGGTGGAGGGGGGCCAACATGGGGGCTGTCCTCAGCAGGAGACGCATTGGGGTGGGAACACCCTCCCACTAGTGACGTGACAGGGAGCAGAGCGTTGCTTCCAGTGAGCGCTTCGTCTTTGGGACACAGGGTGTCTGGGGTGGGACCACGGGACGCCAGGCAGCCTGACCCCCGGGAAGCCGTGTGTGTCCGGGCCAGCTGCAGACATACCGTTCTGCCCCAGAGCTTCTCAGCGGATGTTTGCTCTTGGAAATCTTTCTAGCACAGAACTTGAGTTTCCCCTGCTTCTTAACTTCTCTTATATAAAAATTTATTCATTTGAAAGTCAGAATTACAGAAGGAGAGCCAGAAAGAGATAGAGAGAGAGATAGATTATCCATCTGCTGGTTCACTCCCCAGATGGCTGCAATGGCCGGGCTGGGCCAGGCGGAAGCCAGCAGCTTCATCCAGGTCTCCCACGTGGGTGGCAGGGGCCCAAGGACTTGGGCCATCTTCTACTGATTTTCCTAGGCCATCAGCAGAGAGCTGGTTCGGAAGTGGAGCATCTGGGACTTGAACCAGCACCTTACGTGGGATGCGGTTGTCACAGGTGGCGGCTTTACACGCCATGCCACATCGCCGGCCACTGAGACACAATGTTACCTTCTCCTGCTGAAGCAGATACTCCCTGTGACGTGAGTCACTGTGCCAGGGCCCCCGCCTCAGACCTCAGGGCTTTTCTCCAAGCCGGGAGTGTTTCCTGGTAGTTCCACTTCTGCCTGGAAAATCCAGTTTCTGCACATCATTTCTAACCTTTGAGCCGTGGCTGGTAGGTTACCTTGGGCTCAGAAAGCCCGTCCCCGAGTCGCTTGGCGTTGGTAGAAAGAACAGGCCAATCCCGCAGGGTGCACAGGCGAGCGTGCCCCGCCCCAGCGGTGAGGGGCAGTGTCATGTGAGTTGAGTCACTGCGTTCATTGATGTTAGCTGGGCTGTTTCCTTGCTCACTGTGAAGGTGGGAGGCAGGGAGGGTGGTAGGGAAGAGTTGTCCTGACTCACAGCATTCGGGAATGTTAACGGGCACAGCGGGGCCCTGAGGACGGGCCGGACATGGTGACAGGAGTTTGGGTTGCTGAGAGGCCTTACCTACCTCTCTTTTTATTTCTTTCTCTCTCCCTCCCTTCCTCCCTCCCTCCCTTCCTTCCTTCCTCACTGTCTCTATCTCTGTCTCTGTCTCTTTCTTTTAGATTCATTTATTTGAGAGAGAGAGATCCTCCATTCTCTGGCTCATTCCTTAAATGGCCACACTAGCCAGGACTGGACCAGGCCAAAACCAAGAATCAGGGACTCCATCGGGGTCTTCCATGTGAGCGCGGGGAATGAAGCACCTGGGCTATCTTCCGCGGCCTCCCAGGTGCATTAGCAGGGAGCCGGATCGGAAGCAGAGCCGCGGGGACTGGAACCGGACTCTGATTTGGGATGCAGCACCCAGGCGGCAGGTAGCCTGCTGCCCCGGGGGCTTCCTGACCTGCTTCCTGGCCCCGTGTCGCAGGTGCATCAGGGAGCTCACTGGTGACTCCAAGAGTAAATTAGCTTCCTGTCACCGCTGTGACAAATGCTGTAAACCAAATGACGTAAAATCAAGAACTGTGTCCTCTCCCGGTTCTGAGGACAGAGACCCCGCCCATGGCTGCCAGGAAGAACCCTTCCCTGTCTCTGTCAGCTTCCAGCTTCTGTGTGTGGGGGTGTGACACTCCAGCCTCAGCCCCTGTCTGCCAGCACCTTCTGTGTGTTTGGGTCTGTGCCTGTCTCAAGCCCCTCTGCCTGTTAATAAGGACCCTCGGCACTGGGTGTAGGACCCACCTGGGTCATCCAAGACGTAGATTGTCCCTGCAGGGCCACTTTCCCCGGTGCCGGGGAGTTGGTGTGGGTGTCTTTCAGGGGTGTCTCTCGGCCTCCTGAGGGGTGTGAAGGCAGTGAGGGGTTCCGAGCACAGCCTGGCGTGGTGCAGGACCACTGCCGATGTTGCCACTGCTGTTGTCATTCTGCACCCTCTCATCATTGCCTGAGTGCCCAGGTATCTGCCTGGCCCATCGTCAGGTGGGGGCCAAGGGTGCAGGAGTGAGGTGTGGCCCTGGCCCGTGAGCAGGCAATGCCCTGGCTTCTGGTGTCTGAGCCCCGGCGCTCAGTTCTGTGGACTTCCCCAGCCGGGTCTGCAGACCTGCCCTTGCTCAGCGTGTGGTTACCTCGGGGTGTGGCATCCCCGTTCCAAGAAACCCTCGGAACTTAGGAGAAACCCAGGTCACTGGTAACTTACAAGCCAGTGTCCTCCAACAAAGCATCCTTCCTTAGGTTTCTAGCATCTACAGCACTGTCTGCTGTCGCTTCTGTTTGGCTGTCCTGTTCTGTTTTTATTTATTTATTTTTTTTATTTTTTGCCAGGCAGAGTTAGACAGTGCAAGAGAGAGACACAGAGAGAGAGTTACAGACAGTGAGAGACAGAGAGAAAGGTCTTCCTTCTGTTGGTTCACTCCCCTAATGGCTGCCACGGCTGGCGCTGCACCGATCTGAAGCCAGGAGCCAGGTGCTTCTCCTGGTCTCCCATGGGGTGCAGGGCCCAAGCACTTGGGCCATCCTCCACTGCCCTCCCGGGCCACAGCAGAGAGCTGGACTGGAAGAGGAGCAACTGGGACAGAATCCAGCTCCCCGACCGGGACTAGAACCCGGGGTGCCGGCGCCGCAGGCAGAGGATTAGCCTAGTGAGCCAAGGTGCTGGTCCTGTTTTGTTTTTAAAGATTTATTTTATTTATTTGAAAGACAGAGTTACGGGGCGGTGGGGAGAGGGACAAAGAGAGATCTTCCATCTTTTGATTTACTCCCCAAATGGTCACAGTAGCTGGGGCTGGGCCAAATAGAAGCAGGAGCCTGGAACTCCATCTAGGTCTCCCACGTGGGTGCAGGAACCCAAGCGCTTGGGCCATCTTCTGCTACTTTCCTAGGCCGTAGCAGGGAGCTGGGTCAGGAATGGAGCAGCTAGGACGTGAACTGGCGCTCATACCAGATGCTGGCACTGCAGGTGACAGCTCAACCTGCTGTGCCACAATATGGGGCCCAATAAGACTCTTTTGTCCTTTTTTACAGAACATACCCCTGCAGCTCAGCCAGGTCTCTGAGTGCACCCGAGTGCCAGCCCAGTCTGTCCCCTGCCCCCTGCCCTCCAACCTTCCCTGCTCTCTCAGACACTGAACTGGCAACCGCCGTGCCTTGTCTGCTGTGCTAGGGACTGAAACAGGAAGCTTGTGTCCATTTGGCAAGGAGGTGATGGAGCAAGGGTAGCACCGGAGCCCATAGCCGCCGTGTAAGGTGTAAGGTGCCGCGGGAGGGGTGGGCTGGCTGGGGAGCAGGACAGGAGCTGGCTGGGGAGGTTGGGGGAAGGTGTTCAGGGCAGGGAGATTCGGTGTCCCCGGGGAGCAGAGGACCCTGGTCTGCAACCCCTGCTTCCCTCCGGGTGCCATCCGGTCTCCTCCTGTGAGCTGGCTTCTCAGAAACCAGAGCTTCGTTCTTTTGGCTTCATCCAGATAAAAAACGCACTCAGTGCTCAAGTGCAAAACCCCCTGAGCTAGGGGACTCTCCCGCTACAGGCGCTGCTCAGGTCTCAGGGCCTCCGACGTGCACTTGGGGCAGGGTTTGCTTGTGAACTGGGGCTGGGCAAGGACAGAGGTGTGGGTGGAAAAGGGGTCATCGGGGCATGGGATGGGGACACAGCGGACAACACTCGGTGGTCCCCCAGCATCCCTCCTTTCTGCTTTGCTTGGGCCAGCCATGGGCTTCCACCCGACCCGGACACTGGATCCTGATGCTCTTTCCGGAGCCCCTCCAGTGGACGGCAGGTGGGTTCCTCCCTCCATGAGCCGCCTGAGCCCTGCATTCCCAACTGCTTCCCCCTGGGTCTCTCCCACCCCTCCCTCCTTTACCCCAGGGCGGCAGCTGACTCCTATGGCCGCGCACCGTCCCGGGGCTCAGGACCCCAGCCTGGGCTCCCGGGAGCTGCTCTTTCCTGCTGTGGGCGGCACCTCGCGCCCTAGTCCACGGGGAACGTCGCCTGTGTCTGCTGAAGGGAAGCGACAAGCCTTAGGTTATTATTTCATCCATTTGCCATTTTCTTTGTCGTCATTTTACAATGCATACTATATGGTTAAAATGTGATGCTGCTACACTCAAATGTTGCACTTTTAACATGTTTAATTTGTAGTTATTTTGAGAGAGAGACTGAGAAAGGCTCATCCCCTGGTTGACTCCCCAAGAGCCCTCAACAGCTGAGGCTGGGACTTGTGCTGGAGGCGGGCACTCAGCACAGATCTCTCATGTGGGTGGCAGGCGATCATTACTTGAGCCACCACCGCTGCCTCCCAGGGTCCGCATTAGCAGAACCGGGTATCAAACCCAGACGCTCCACTGTGGGATGCAGGCATCAAACAGTGTCTCAACCGCAGTACCAAGTGCTCATCCCCTTAGCATTTTTTTTTTACTATGATGTTAATGGAGAAGTAGATACCATAAGAATGGCAGAGCAAGTGAGCTGTCCTATGGAGCCGGAACCTTGTCCATGCAGCTCTGGCCCTCTGGGAGCCTCAGTCCATCTTCCAGGACAGGTGAGGAGCTGGGAAAAGTGGACCAGTGTGAGCTGTGGATGCTGGCTGTGGCAAACAGAGGGGAGGGGAGCCTGGACCCGTGCAGGCACACAGAGCTATAGAGTGAAGCAGCACACAGGACCATGTGCAGCCTGGGATTCTTGCGAGCGGTCAAATGGAAAAGCAGGTGATGGGTTCAGGGGTCAGGAAGTGGGTGGGACATAGAACAACACAGGGCAGCTCAAGGAGGCGCCGAGCTGGCAGGTGCCAGGCTGGGCACAGCAGTCAAGCAGCGCGACTCCCCTCGCCACTGCCCGCAGAGGCGGGGGGTGCGTCCCCAGCCCTGTCTGGCCTCGAAGCCTTTGTGTCCAGCTGCCTGGTTGGGCAGCGGCGGCACAGCTGTGGGAAGCCCTTTCTAGCAAGGGACTCCACACAGCTCATGGAAAATGAAAGGAAAAGATGAGTTTATTTTGGCTAAAAAAAAATCTGCAATCCAGGCATAGTTTGTTGTTTTTTTCTTTTTGTAATATGCATTTTCCATGCATGTTTAAGAACCCCAAGGTTTTTTTCCTGGGGCAAGCGGCTCCTGTCTGTCTGCCCTGCCAGCTACAGCTTCCCTGCCCACGCTTCAAAGGGGAGCTCAGGTTCTGCTTCCTGGGGTGTGATGGGAGCTGGAGTTCCCTGCGACCACCCTGTCTCCCCCAGAAAGGGCTTGGTCTGGGGGGACGGGCGATGGTGGTGCCCAGCGGGGTGAGCACCGCCCACCGCCCTCCCTCCACGCTCTCTCCCTAGAGCATTGCTCGGTGTAGCCTTGCCCGGAACAGGAGCTGTATCTCCTTGCCTCTGCCCTTTGCCCTTTCGAGCCTCTCATCTGGGGCCAGTTTTCTGGGGTCTGGGTGACCCTGAGCAGCAGCTCGGACTCCTGACCAGGACCAGCAGGGAAGGCTGTGTTTCCCAGGTACTGGGCATGCATGGGAGAGATCTTCCTACCTTTTCGAAGTGTTTTTTCAGAGTCATGAAAGAAATGGCGATAGTGGTGAAAATGCAGGCAGCGCAGCTGTGGGTGGAGTTCACGGGCTGGACCCATTGCAGTGCCCCCCACCCCCACCCCGCAGCTGCCAGTTCTCGCCATCCCCTCCTCTCAGGGGTGGTGCTTTGGACCCCTGGCTGTTTTGTGACAGCCTAGCACCGGCTGCGGGAGCACCCTGCGCTGCTTCTGTTCCCAGAGCCTCAGTCTCTGATGGACTCGTGGTGCCCAGGGCGGGGGCCTTCCACGAGGCAGCCAGGAGCTCGGCCTGCCCCAGGGCCCGGGACCGGCTGCTGCCAACTGTGCCCAGCTGTGTGCTCTGGCGCGCACCAGGCGGGAGTGAAGACAGGAATCCCGCACACGCAGCTCGTCTGCAGGTCCTGGAGGAGTCCAGCTCCCCGCGGCTGCCCGCTGGGCCTTGCCTTGCATCCATGGGAAGGTGGACACTCGGCTCTCCCTCCTCTCTTTCTCCCAGAGTGGCCTCAGCTGTCGCCCTGGACTGGCAGCTCAGGAACGCAGAGAAATTGCTTCAAGGGCGGGTGCGGCTCTTATTCAAGCGAGACAAAGAGTGAGAAATCGCCCCGTCAGCTCTGAAGCACCTGTGGAGGTGAGGGCGGCGGTGCTGTGAGCCGTCACCTGTTCTCGCGGCTGTCACCCACAGCAGCACTGGGGTCTTCAGGCAGCTGGGGTAAGTGCTGAAATCCCGGGGCCCGGGGTCAGCCAGGCAGGCATTGGCCCGGTGGCGCTCCCTGCCAGCGGCCCCTCCCAAGATGCTGCAGGGACAGCTGTCATCATGGGGGCCTCGGCCTGGGGGCCCAGGGCTCCCGAAGCAGAGATTTTTCAGTGCCTTAGAGCAGTTTCTCAATTGTAGTGCGGGTGGTTGACACTTGGGGACAGGTAGTGCTGTGCTAGGGGGCAGAGGGGAGAGTCGGGCAGTGTCCCTGGCCTCCGCCCACTGGACACGAGTAGCACCTGTCTCCCCCAACTGGGACAGCGACAGAGGTCTGCAGACGTTGCCCAGGTTGTCCCCGGTCGAGAACTGCTGGGCTGGCGGCCTCAGAATCGGCTCTGCGTGGCCGCCGCCTCGGCACCCGCGCCGCCGCGGGCTGGGCTGCAGTTTCCTTTGTTCCTTCTCCAAATCGCTGACCTCATCAGGCTCATTTGTTGGCCTCGTTGACTCACCCCGCTCTCACCACAAGCAGCCGGCCCGCTCCGGGGGATCCCAAATGACTTATCATGGGACTCTGTATGTAAATTTAGATTCTTTTCTACTAAATTGGAGACACAGAGCCTCAACTTCTTTTTTAGCTCAGCTTGGCAAATACTTCCTTAAAGCAGCTAAGGGTGTGCTGAGCTCCCGCTGGCTGACGGTTTGACCATGAACACCTTTGCAGTTGGGTTTTCTGAAACCACCAGCTATTTCCCTCTCGCTAGCTTGGGCCCGAACCCAGCAACCAGTGTGTGATCTCTGAGCCAGGGAGGCCCACTGCCGGCCGGTGCTTAGGGGATTTTCACAAAGGCCTCTGCCCTGGGCACTGGCGTGGGAGGAAGGTGAGGGCTCTTAATGGGCCAGATGGGATCGGGTCCCCGGATGGACCCACCAGGTTGCTGCCCTGGCTCATTGCTGGGCGTCTGGTCCCTGGAGCAAGGCCAGAGTGAGCTGGCGGCTGTGAGGTGGGGCTGCACAGAGCCCAGTGTCGCTCTGAGGACAGGCACAACCCTGAGGTCATTGCTGACAGCCTGCCCGGCCACACCCGGCAAGCAGGCAGCTGCCCTCGGCTCCTGCTGCTCAGGGCTGCCTAGCGGGAGGTAGGATGGGCTCTGTCTGTCCCCTACTCAACCTCTCCTGGAGTCTGATTTCCTAGCAGGGCTGTCTGTCTCGTCACCCACCCTTGGCCCCCAGAACCTAATCATCGAAAGAACCCGGCGTGCCCCGAGCTGTCGTGGGCCCGGGCCATTGCTGTGCTGCAGTGGCCCACAGAGGCACCGCTTCCTCTGCCAGCTCAGAGACACATGATCGAATCTGAGCAATGCGTGGCACCGGGCGCGGGATGTCCGGGCAGGCCCATCCCAGGCACCGTCTGGGACCTTCCACCCAGACAAGGCTGTGTGCTCAGATGCTCCGTATCCGCTCGTTCCTGGAAGGGAACGAAGCTGAAGTGCCTGCGGCAGGCAGGAGCTGCCCCGGGCTCTCTCCCTGCTGTACCTGTGTGGGCCTCGGTGGAGCTGGGCGTCTTCCGGATTCCAGCGTCCATGGGAGCCAGTCTGTCCACTGTGGAGGAGAGCTCCTTTCCCAAAATAGCCACCCAGAGGGAAGGAACAGCTGTGGAATCTGGCCCAGACACCCGCCCTGCCCGCCTCACCTCCCTGACAATCACCCTGGGGGCTGGTGGGTTGGGGCAGGGCGGGTTTTCCCCTTCGCCCCCTCCGGCAGGGCGGGTTTTCCCCTTCGCCCCCTCCATCTCCCTCTCCTTTGTTCCCCGCCAGCTTCAGGGTCAGAGCCAAGTGACTCAGCAGAGATGCATTTGGCAGGGGGGAAGGGGTCACAGTGAGGGAGCAGGGGGGAGGGGCACCACGGAGGGGCCCTGGTGCTGGCAGCCTGCCCAGCTCTGCCGGGCCCCAAGGAGGCAGTGAGCCTAGCAGGTCAGACAGGTGGAGCCGGCCAGTCACAGTGGCTGCCACTCCTGCACCCAGCTCCCTCTCCTTTCACCCGGGGTTGACTTCACTGACCCCGCCGGGGGACATTCCAAATGTGAGCAGAGGCCTTTGGGACTGATGGGAGTCGGGGACCTGCCGGGAGAGGATGTGGCGTGTGTAGGAAGCGCAGCCTTGGCATTGGCAAGGCGTTTCCTCTGTTTGGGTGCCTTACCTATAATGGCAAAGCGGGAGGCAGGGTCCCGAAAGGCTGAGGGCTCCCGGAGGCTGCAGGTGCGGAGCGGGGGGGAGGCTGTCTTGGCGCTGGGTGGGTGGCTGTTTTCCTTTTCCTTAGTGAGGTGGGTTTGGGGGTGGGGGAGGGGGAGCTGGGGCTGCCTTGGCTCAGCAGCAGGTCCTGGCTTTGGGGGGGGGGGGGTTCTCTGTCCCCATGCACAGAGTCCCAGCTGGCACTGGGCTTCTTCCGAAGTGTGTGCTGATGTCCATGTTGGAGAGGCTGGATTCTCCTCGGAGACAGGCAGGGGGCTTGGCCTCGCCGCTCCTGTTCAGAGAGGCTGTGAGCCTGCCCTTTGCAGCCTCACCCCGTTGTCTCCTTAGATGATCTATTGGGGGCCTGTGGCCTGAGCACAGGGAGGGAAGGAGCCTGGGACCCCCCTCCCCTCCCAGGAAGCTCGGGCTGGTCTGGGCCCGTTTGGTACTGCCAAACGCCTCTGCACCACCTTCCATCACTGGGCTGTGTGTGGCCATCATGGAGGCTCAGGGGCCTCTGCTGGGGGCTGGGCCTCCATCCCTGCACTGAGGGGCGCGGCTGCCGCAGCATGTGCACCTGCAGGGGAGGGGGGGGCCACCCGAGTACCAGAGGCGTTCAGCGGCTTGGCCCGTTTTCTAAATTCCAGGGTGATTGATGAGGCCCCAGTGGCTTAGATGATGGGGTACCCCATCAGGATCTAAGAGAAGACCTCACAAAGAATCAGAACATTAATTTATTTATAATTTCATAAAAGTAGCAGGGCAGCTCTATCTCGGCTTGCCTGGGGTGCTCAGGAAGTCGCTGCCGTCTCCTGCTCTGCCCCTCGGCCCAGGGCTCACCTCATGCCCACGACCCTCCGGCCGCTCCTCCCGGGGTCCGTTACGAGTGGGCACCTTTCCCAAAGGCTACAGGCTCGCCCGCAGGCCTCATCGCCAGGATTGCCCCTGCACAGCCCCCAGCCAGTCAGCGGCAGGGAGGGGTCGCTGGGTGGCAGGGCGAGGACCTCCTTGAGGAACAGCAAGATGGCTTCCCCAGGGCAAACCGGGGGGGGGGAGCAGCCAGGACAGGGCCACGGGCTTGGGGCACGTGACCAGCTGCACCTGCTGCCGCGGAAACTTCCAGTGCATCTGGGATGCAGGACCTGTTGCTCCTCAAACACGTGGGTCTTTTTCAAATGAGATTCCTAATACAAGCAAGCGTGGTTTTAGACAATTTTGGCTACCTCCCCTTAACCCTTTACCTCCCAGGGAGACCCGTCTTCCCAGTATCTGGGCTGCTAGTTTTCAGACCTTTGAGCTTTCTTTCCTTTTTTTTTTTTTTTTTTAATTTATTTAATTGAAAGAGTTACAGAGAGAGAAGTAGAGCCAGAGAGATCTTCCATCCACTGGGTCACTCCCCCCAAAATTGAAACAACTGGAGCTGGGCTAGTCAGAAGCCAGGCGCTTCTGCGTTTCCCACATGGGTTCAGGGGCCCAAGAGCCTGGACCATGTTCTGCTGCTTTTCCAGGTGCATTAGCAGGGAGCTGGATTGAAAGTGGAGCGGCTAAGACTTGAACTGGCACCTATAAGGGATACCGGTGGCACAGGCGGCGGCTTAAAATACTATGCCAACAATGCCCTAATTTTTTTTCATTTTCTAAAACACCTTTACATTAATTATTTTACTGACAGCCTACAACTGCCAGTTTGCTATACCTTTCTTTGTACCTCCTACTTAATTTTTTTTTTTTTGCAGGGGGGGAGAATGTTTTTACATTTTTAAATTCAAATGATTGTGATTTTTGTTATAAAATTTGGAAAGGTTTTTATTTTAATTTTTTAACTTTCATTTTGTATTTGAGAGAAAAAGAGAGATATCTTTTATCCACTTGTTCATTCCCCAAATGCACATGACAACTGGGGCTGGGCCAGGATGAAGCCAGGAGCCCAGAACTCCATCTAGGTCTCCCACGTCGGTGGCAGGGACCAAGTACTTGAGCCATCACCTGCTGCCTCCCAGGGTGCACATTAGCAAGAAGCTGGAATCACGAATGGAGCTGGGACTCAAATCCAGGCACTTGGTGATGGGATGGGTGTCCCCAGTGGCATCTTCATAGCTACACCAGGGCCAGCACCGTGGCTCACTTGGTTAATCCTCCGCCTGCGGTGCCGGCATCCCATATGGGTGCCAGGTTCTAGTCTCCTAGTTACTCCTCTTCCAGTCTAGCTCTCTGCTGTGGCCCGGGAAGGCAGTGGAGGATGGCCCAAGTGCTTAGGCCCTGCACCCGCATGGGAGACTGGGAGGAAGCACCAGGCTCCTGGCTTTGGATAGGCGCAGCACACTGGCCGTAGCGGCCATCTGGAGGGGTGAACCAATGCAAGGAAGACCTCTCTCTCTCTCTCTCATGTCTATAACTCTACCTGTCAAAAAAAAAAAAAAAAAAAGCTACTCCAAGTACCCACCTCTTTTTTGATGAACCTGCTGCCCCTCAGAGCTGGCTGCTAAGGCTCCCTCCCTCCCAAAGAACTAGAAAAGGAAGAAATAAAAAAGGAACTTAAAAAAGTTCCCGGAAAATAGAATGAAAAGTGTGAGTATATTTTGGTGCAAAGACGATGTTGAAATCCACGCAGGGTTCTCGTGATGCATTTTCCACGTATTATGAAGAAAAGTTTTTGCACCAAAATGAACTCATACATTTAACTCCATTTGTCCATGAAGTTTTGAAGCACCTTTTAGAGTCTGAAACACCTGAGAGGTGTTAGATGACCGAGTCGCCTGGCTCTGCCAAGGTCAAAGGCCACGGGCTCTGGCTGGCAGCCCCCAGGAGCCCGCATGCCTCTGTGCCACTCATCCAGGGACGCCGCGGGCGTCAGCAGAGGGGTGGACGTGCACCTGCCTGCAACTTTGCTGCAGCTTCCTGTTTTCTCCTGGGCAGGCCCCGCTAGCTCCTGAATTCTGGGGGAATCAGGGTGGTACCTCCCCAGGGGGCAGGAGGGAGGGGGCGAGATTGTTCCAGGAGGCATAGACCTGACAGTCATTTTTGAGGCTCAAAGCTTGCAAGTCGGTCTTTTGGGGCCCATCCCTTAGATGCCTCGAAGCAGGTTTCTCTGTGCCCTGGCTCCTGCAGCCCGGACCACCTCAGCGGCAGGTTTGGGCTGGATCTCTGGAGCCCCACGCAGCCGCCTTCCTCTTCCTGCCTTGGGGCCAGGTTTTCCTGGTGACTTCGGTGCAAGATCAGAAAATCTTCTGGCTTTGGATGTCACTGCGAGGCGCAAGACTCCTGGCTGCTGTTAACCCCTGCAGATGCCCTTCAGAGCCTGGCACGGGGAGCGTGTGGTTAACCACGCCTGTCCCCAGCGCTGTGCCACCATCTCCAGGATGGGCACCTCACCTTCCAGGGGTCAGAGGTCAGAGGGAGCCAGGAGGACTTTGCTGCCTGGAGACACTTTTCAACGAAAGCTTGCAGCCCCGCCTTGCCTGGTGGCTTTTCCTGCAGAGCCACCTGCCTTAGCCATGCTCCCCCCAACCTCACGGGGCATGATGAAAAGCAGCCTCTTGTCCCCTGTCCCACGGCCGGCATGCTGTGCTGGGATCACAGGGACACCCCCGCTGGGTTTCTTGCACAGATGGTTCCAGTCGGACTGCCCTTTCGGAGCCAGGAGACCAAGGGGGATTCTGGGGTGTGGCCATGTCCACCATTGCCATAAGTGCCTCTGGGGGAGCAGAGGCGTGAAGGACAAGGTCGTGACCCTACACGCACTGGTAGTCATGGTCTGGAGGGGAGTGAGGGGCGGGTGGCAGACAGTTCAAGGCGTGAGTGACAAGGGCTCAGCCTCTGGGCTCCCCCCACCACTGCCACACTCCCCTATGACAGAGTCTTGGCCCTGTACGTCCCATGGGGGCTCCCCTTGCTCCTACGGGGGAGTCCTGAGAGGCTCCTGGCTCTCCCCGGCCTCACCCTGTCCCCTCCTTCTTGCCTTCTTTGCCGCATGGCCCCCAGCAGCTGGAACCCATCACAGCGCCCTCCCTGTGTGCCGGCTGCTCCTCCCAGCCCTGCCCGCCGCCGCGGTGTCACCTGTTCCCTTGACCTCCTAGGTGAGGATGCCATCCCCTGCCGTGGGTCTCCCTCTGCAGCACAGCTCACGGTTGTCATCGTCCATGGCTCGTTTCTTGCCTGGGTCTCTCCCCACACACATTGGATCCCCCACGCCCATCCTGGTGGACCGAGAGGACTCCCGATTTCCCAGGATTTGGTACAACCAAGAGCAGCGGTGCCAGAATCTGCAGCACTGACAGCTTCGAGACCGCCCAGGTAAAGATGGCTTCTGGTTTTCACGACTTGCAGCAGGAGCATCAGGCCTGGGCAGAACAAGGCCCCTGTAGGGAGAAAGGAAGTGAAGGCAAAGTGGGGGCTCTACTGTGCTGCAGGCGGCTTTGGGTTTTTTTTGTTTGGTATTTTTTGTTTGTGGTTTTTTTTGTTTTTTGTTTTTTTTTGTTTTTTTTTTTGGGGGGGGTAAAGATTTTTGAAAGACAGAGATGGAGAAAAAGTGGTCTTCCATTTGCTGGCTCACTCCCCAAATGGCCGCGATGACTGGGGTTGGGCCAGGCCAAAGCCAGGAGCCAGGAGCTCCATCTGGGTCTCCCACTGTTATCCCAGGCCATGAGCCAGCAGCTGGATTGGAAGCGGAGCTGGCAGGACACAAACCAGCGCCTACACGGGATGCCAGTGTTGTGGGCGGCGGCTTAACCTGCTGCACTGCAACGTCGGCTCCTCTCCCAGCCTTTTAAAGATTTTATTCACATGAGAGGCAAAGAGAGAGAGCGCTCCCATTCACAGGTTCATTCCCCAAATTCCCAGGCCAAAGCTGGGAGCTGGAAGTTCAGCCCAGGTCTTCCACATGGGTGGCAGGAATCCAATTACCTGAGTGCTCACTGCTGCCTCCCAGGGTGACATGAACAAGAAGCTGCAATCAGACGCCTGAGCCAGGATAGGGGACACAGCACCCCGGCGTGGGCTCGCGTGTCTAACCGGCGTCTTAACTACTAGACATCCGCCCCTCTGTGGCCTGGAAATGAGACCAAGGCTGCTGCAGAGCTGGGGACATGCGAGTCTGTCTAGCTGTAAACATGTGCCCTCTGACCTCGAAGTGTAGCTTTCCAGGGCTGCAGTCTTGTCTGTTTTGTATTTCGTGGGACGCGGATTTCACGCATCGACTGTTTGCTCTGGCTTCCAGTCCTGGTCTCCTCTCCCTGGGCAGGTCATCTCTTCCCTCTGAGGTCCTGGCCTTGGGAAAGAGAGCAAGGAGCCCTCTTCTGACCACCTGGGGCTTGGGGCCGCTGCCTTAGGGGACAGACACCTTCGCCCAGGCCGCTGCCTGGGTCTGCTGGGAAGTCGGGAGCAGGTGCATGCGGCGAGGCTTGGGTGACCCTGAGGCACCTGTCCTGGCGCTGACTGTGAGTTCAAGGATAGGCCTAGATGGGAACTTGGAGTCACCCCTCACTGGGCTCGTGCCTGCTGGGACCTGCCTGGGATTTACAAGGTGCCCACCCCTGAGAAGCACCCGGACTCCTCCACGCGCTGGGCTTGGAGCCTGTGAGTGCTCAGGAGTCTGTGTCCCGGCCCCTCACCCCCATCTCTGGGCCCCAAATACTTAGTCCAAGCTTCAGGGTCCAAGTGCCACTTGTACTTCAGTCCCAAGAGGCTGTTTTCAGCACCCTGGGGTCCCCTGCCTGGTCCAGGCTTGGCTGGGGGTAGAGGGAGGAGGAACCTTTATTTGGGTCCCCACTTGTCCCTGTGCTTATGTGACGACATGGTCGCTGCACGCTGTGCCCTTGGTGCTGTCCTAGACACCTGCCGGCTCAGGTATGGAGTTAGAATCTTACCGTTTCCCACGTTCCCCGGGAGGTTAGAGCCGCCACGCTAAACGATAAGCATCGCTCTCTAAGGGCTCTCTAATGGCAGTGCCCCAGGCTGTCCTGTTTGGGGAGGACTAAGGCGAGGGTCACTGGGCATTTGTGGAAGCCAGGCCAGGGTGCCCTTTGTGCCAGGCGTCCCCTCAGTGTGTGGCGGGCGGGTGGGTTCTCAGAGGGACTTTCTCCTCACAGAGAGAAGGCACCAGCTCATGAGCCTGTTTTTTTTTCTGCGCCACCTTGCCTGCAGCTCCGGTCTCTGGGACATCCCGTGCTGGGATGAGGTCCCCGTGGCCCTCCTGTCCCACACCCCTGCACCCATGGTCATTTCACTGCATCTCCAGCAGCTCCGGATGGTGGTCAGCTTTCTGTGTCAGCTTGGCCAGGCCGTAGCACCCGGGGAATTCAACCAAACCCTGACCTGGGTGCAGCTGTGCTTGGTAGGTGGGGTCAGCATCTACAGTCACGGCCTTGGAGTGAAGGAGGGTGTCCCCTATAACACGGGTGGGCTTCACCCAAGCTCTGAGCGCACCACTGAGGTTTCCCTGGGGAAGGGGTACGTCCACCTCGGACTGCAGGGTTCCCGGCTGGCCTGGCCGCCTCCCGATCCCACACTTGGCCCAGCCAGCCCACAGTCACAAAGGCCAGTTGTTTGCAATGTGTTACCCATCTCCTCCTTCTGGCTCTCACTGGCACGCTCACCGCAAGGTTCCCGCGACGGGACGGGAGGCGCTGGCCTCTGCTCCACTGTCCTTTTCCGACTCTCTTCCAGGAGTGCCGACGGTTTCTCGGTCCCCATCAGCCGGCGGTGGGGTCACATCTTTCTGTTCCCCCGGTCTCCTTTTTATCAGCAGGTCCCGGGAGAAGCCACGGACGCGCGCCGGGGAGGGGCCGGCTGTGAGTGTTTCTTTGGCAGTGTCTTAGCTGGTTGTTGTGAGTCACAGAGAAGGAAGCAATCAGCAAGTATACTGCCCTAGAAGTGCTGCACGTTGTGGGGCCCAGGACGCAGGGAGGCGGCGAGAGACGTCTGGACATCGTGAGCCCTGCTCCGCCCCGCGATGGGTGCCTGAGGGCTGCTGGGGGAAGCAGGCCTCAGGAGAGACCCACTCGGGCTGCTGAAGGGAAAGGCTGGGGGTTGGGGTGTGCAGGCTGCTTCCGGCTGGGGGAGATCTGCACGCAGGAGTCACGGCCAGCATTCACAGAGCCCCTCCTGAGCGCCCTAAACCTGTCGGGTCAGGGCAAGTCTGCTCTTAAACCTGTGCTACAGAGCAGGGAGCAGAAGGGCCAGGGCAGAGGGGCTGAGGGCGCCGCGAGTCAGGCAGGGCCAGCTGCCCGACACAGGCGGCCTGAGTCTGCTGTCCTGGCTGCTGGCTCGGGCCCTGAGAGGTGGGCTCACCTAACAGTGACTTGAACAAAAACTCACACTCATGCTCCCCGCGAGACCAGCGCGGGTTTGGGGAGCTGGCTCTGCCCCAGGGAGGAGTTTCCTTTCCTGTGCCGGTGGTGACAATTAAGGTTCCTGCAGGGGAGCTTGGTGAGGGTGGGGGACAGTCAGTGCTCTGGGTGCCTCTGGCTCCACCCACGGAGGCCGACTTTGGGTCCAGGGAACTGCAAGGACGGGGGTTGCCAGGGCAACAGGAACTGGCTGCCAGACACTGGCAGGTGCAGAGCACACGGAGGGCACAGCCTCCTGGATGGCCCAGGAGCCTGCCCTGCACCTGGCCAGAGCTCACCGAGCAGCCTCTGGGCCCTGCCTGCCTGCCCTCGCTGCGGTTGAACTCCCTGGCGTGGAGCTGTCAGCGATCCCACTCTCCGTCCCACTGATGGCGGCCAGCACTGCCCAGTCTGGCACTTAGAGAAATCGGCCAAGCCTGAGAGGTGAACCCCAGGGCCCTCAGCCCTCCAACCCCATTGGCTAAAAGAAGCCTCCAGGATCCGTGTGGGCACCAATGGGGGGCCACTCTGGGGCCTTTGGCACAGACCCTCCTGAGAACCCCCCCACCTCGCCATGCCCCACCCCTGCACCCTTCCAGCCCCTGCCCAGCTCACCCCTGCTCCTGCCCACCTGCCGAGACCCAGTCTTCCTGCTGCCCTTGTGTCTCGGGGTTTGTTCCTTCTGCACCTGGCTAGCAGGTCCTCATCCCCTCACCAGCAGCGAGTCAGGCAGGGCCAGGCCCCCCTCCCAACACCCCCTTGCTGGGAGGACTCTCCTGCTCTTCTCCCACGAGACACGGGCACGAGCATGGCTCCAGAGAAGGCGCTTTTGTGAGGGCACGCGTGGGACTGCTCCCCTCCGCGCCCGGCCCGCGGAGCCGGGTAGGCGTGGGCGGCAGTGGGGCAGAGGAGATGCCTGGAATGCGGGCTGCAGAGACAGCAGTGGCCTCGGAGTCCTCTGGGGTTTTCACTGAGGCAGCACTTGGCGTAGCTTCAGAGCCAAGTCCTCACATCTTTCCCAGTTTCAGGCAGAAGCGAGGAATGTCTGCCCTTCCCCCACAGCAGCTCGGCCAGAGGCCCGAGTTTTTAAAGAGATCAAGGGCTCTGGTTTATGATTGGAGGAGCCTGTTCGTTGGCGCCCAGGTGAGATCACCTGCAAGGACCCTGTTTTCCTGGCTGGCTCGGGGTTCAGTTATGCCAGCATGCACACAAGAATTGTCCCGGGACAAGTCACGACGCTGGTGAAGACAGCCGCATGCCACAGCAGAGCCAGTGCAGACCCGAGATGCAGGAGCGACGGCTCAAGCGCTCGAGTCCCTGCCATCACGTGAGACTCGGATGGAGCTCCGTGGCCATTGCAGGTGTTTGGGCATGAGGCAGCACATAGCGGGGCGCTCGCGCTCACTCTCGCTCTCTTTCTCACTCTCTCTGCCTTTCAAATAAAAAACAATAAAACATTTTTTTTTGACAGGCAGAGTGGACAGTGAGAGAGAGACAGAGAGAAAGGTCTTCCTTTGCCGTTGGTTCACCCTCCAATGGCCACTGCGGCCGGCGCGCTGCGGCCGGCGCACCGCACTGATCCGAAGCCAGGAGCCAGGTGCTTTTCCTGGTCTCCCATGGGGTGCAGGGCCCAAGCACCTGGCCATTCTCCACTGCCTTCCTGGCCACAGCAGAGAGCTGGCCTGGAAGAGGGGCAACCGGGACAGAATCCGGCGCCCCGACCGGGACTAGAACCCAGGGTGCCGGTGCCACAGGCAGAGGATTAGCCTATTGAGCCACGGCACTGGCCTAAAACATTTTTTAAAAAGGAAAAATTGTCCTCCTCGGAGTCTGCCTGTAGAGGTGCCTGGACAGTAAGTAAGGAAACAGACAGCTGTCAGTCTTGCTTCAGATACAACTGGTTTGTCTGGGCAGTTTACTTCGGCAGCCTAGGAGCAGCTAAGATACATTGTGTCATCTTTACAGGAACCGCAAATGCACTCGGATCCATATCTCCAATGCACTCGGGTCCATATCTCACTCCGCTGCATCTTTCTAAAAATTCTAGAAGACAGGAGAAGCAGCGGGGGCGCCATTGAAAAGGGATTGGGGAAAAGAGGTGCAGCACTCACGCGCTGTGAATGTGGGGAGTTCGAGGTGCAGCCAACTGACCCCGGCAGAGTCACGTCTGCTCTGGGAACGCCTGGGCGGTCGGTAGTTGAAGGTTGAGAATTTCGTGGTTAGACTTGTGTTTGGAGGCGAATCTGAAGTTTTGGGAGAAAGAATCTGATCTGGGCTGTGAGAAGCAAAATGTATTTGCTTTTTCAAACATCTTTGTGTAGGAATCTGCTTTGCTCTGCTGTGTGCTGTGCCGGGTCAGAGCCAGGGTTCTGACATTGTTGTGTGCGAGACGCTCCCCCTGGGGAGACTCCGAGAAAGGCACGTGGGCTCTCTGGACTTCTCTCTTCCTGTCAATCCGTAATGATTTTAAGGTAAAAAGTGCAAACATTCATGTTTACATTCGACTGCATGCAGTGTGGTTTCCTGGATTGGATCCCAGCACACACACACACACAGACACACACACACACTCACACGCACACAGACATGAGTAGAAATAAACTGGTTAAAGCCAAAAAGGAAGTCTCCGGTTAACAAGTAACAGACCAGGTCAATCTCTTAGTTTGGAGGTGAACAGCGGGGGCTTTAGATGGCCACAGGCTGAGCTCTCTGCTGTCCCCTTTTGAGTTTTCCTGTAAATCTCAGTGTTCCTAAAATAAAATGTTTGTTAAAAACAGAAGTGTGTGTGTGTGTATATATATATGTGTGTGTGTGCGTATGTGTGTCTACACTATGTGTGTGCGGGCATACACACACACACCTGTTGTGTTTGTATTTGAACACATCCAGGCTATCAGGGCCTTAGAAAACACACTCACCCTAGGAGAGGGGCCAGCACTAAGGGTCACCTCCTGGCCGGCGCCGCGGCTCACTAGGCTAATCCTCCGCCTTGCAGCGCCGGCGCGCCGGAGTCTATCCCGGTTGCCCCTCTTCCAGGCCAGCTCTCTGCTGTGGCCCGGGAGTGCAGTGGAGGATGGCCCAGGTGCTTGGGCCCTGCACCCCATGGGAGACCAGGAGAAGTACCTGGCTCCTGCCATCGGATCAGCGCGGTGCGCCGGCCGCAGTGTGCCGGCCGCAGCGGCCATTGGAGGGTGAACCAACGGCAAAGGAAGACCTTTCTCTCTGTCTCTCTCTCTCACTATCCACTCTGCCTGTCAAAAAAAAAAAAAAAAAGTCACCTCCTCCCAGGGCTGCGGGGTGCCAGGGAGGCCCTACAGGAGCCCTGCGGTCTCCCCGTCTCTGAGTCGCACCTCAGAGTCACCACGGTCCCACATTCCTGAGCAGAAGCCAAGGCACAGAGGAGAACTGATGTCTTAGGTTCTGGTTTCTTGTAATACCAAGAACAAGTACTTTCTGTTTCCCAGGCATGTGCCTGCAAACGTACAGAGTCAGCCGTGAACCAGAGCTGCTGTACATTTACGGGGGAAAAAAAGGGAAATGACGGCCGCTGTTTTCTTCAGAATCTGTGGTTAGAGTCGGGGGTGGGGAACACTGCCCAGCAAAAGGTGTCAGCGTGGGACCTGCTGTGTGCCTTGCACGTTGCCACTTCCCACCAGGACACCCAAGGACGGAGGAATGGCGGGTGTCTGGGCTGCCCCTGCCTGGTCTTTGGGGAAACACCTCCTTCCCCTCGGTGCAGTGCAGGTGGCTCCTGCCATGATGCCTGGACAAGACCAGCTGTGACCCCAACCTTCTGATGAAGTGAGTCACACTTGCAGCTCACGGGCCAGTGGAGAGCCTTAAAAGCGGAATCCCCAGGGCGGGTGCTGTGGCGCGGAGGCTAAGCCCCTGTCTGGGAGGCCTGAGTGCAGCTACCCCATGCTTACTATCTGGCTTCCTGCTAATGAGCCTGGGAGGCAGCAGATGACGGCTCAAGTACTCGGGTCCCTGCCACTCATGTGGGAGACCAGGATGGAGTCCCTGGCTGCTGGCTTTGGCCTGGCCCAGACATAGCTGGTGCAGATATCTGGGTGGTGAAGAAGCAGGTGGAAAATCTGACACTCTGCCTTTCAAATAAATATTAAGGAAAATTGGGATCCCGGGGCAGGCATTTGGCCTAGTGGGGCAGTTTAGATGCCTGCGCCCCACATCAGAGTCCCCAGTTCTGTTCCCAACGGCAGCTTCTTGTTGATGCAGACCCTGGGAGGCAGCTGGTGAGGGATCAAGAAGTCCAGTTCCTGCCACCCTGTGGGAGACCTGGCTGAGTGCCCAGCTCCTGCCTCTGGCCCAGCCAAGCCCCAACCATTGCAGGCATCTGGGGAGGACCCAGAAGACAGGAGCACATTCTCTCAGATACAGAAATCACTTTTAAAAAGTGGGAGCCTGGCGTTCTGGCCACCAAGGCCCCCCAGTCCCAGCCTCCACCAGGGACGTCTCGCTGCTTGGGTTCACGGGCGCATCCCTTCTGTTGTTTGAAGCTCACTGCCTCTGGCGCCTTCCCCGTGGGGAGCAGGAGTGGATCCCTGGGACCCTTGTGGCGTCCATCACCTCTCCAGGCTGGTGTCACGGGGGCCACTTTGGGCCCACCCCTTCCTTCTGCTGGAGCCTAAACCAGCGAGAAGGGCTGCACACCAGTGCCCCTGCAGCTGGGCCTGGCTCTCCTGACTGGGGCGCAGAGCAGTGGGCCCCAGGCTCGCTGGGATCAGAAATGTCCTGGCCACCCGGGGGGGGGGGGGCACTCCTGATGCACGCAGTCAGGGGAGAGGCAGGGGAAGTGCAATGACGTAGGAGCTGTGTGGAAAGTCTCTCCATGTTCTGGTCTGGAAGCTTCCACTTGGCTCACATCAAAGGAGCCACATGGCTGATCAGTGGCTGCTATGGTGTGGATGCCCCCCTCCCCCACAAATGTGTGTGTTGAGAGCTTTCTCCACTGCAGCAGGGTGTGCGTATCTGGCACAGGGGGTGTATGTGGGACCCAGTGAAAGGAGATTAGGCCATGAGGGTAGAGCCTCTCTCTCCCCGTCTCTTTCCTCCTCCTCCTTCCCCTGCCTCCTCTCCTCTCCTCTCCCCCTGCTCCCCTCCCTCCCCATCTCTCTCCACCCTGGCCCTGCCCTGCCCTGCTGCTTGTATGACATAGCAGGAAGATCTTCTCTAGGTCCTTGATCCTAGAATTCCCAACCTCCAGAGCTATAAGCAACAGATTTCTCTTTATAAATCAGCCCAGTGCATTGGCATTGTGTTACAGCAGCCCAAAAGACCCAGGAAGGTCAGGGTGTGCAGGGCTGGGCGCCCTGAGAGTCTTACCTCCCAGGGGATCCAGTGCCGACCGGGACACACGCAAATGGAGGACCTCTGTCCAGAGCGAGGGGCTGCCTCTGACACTGCTCGGAGTGGTCCGGGTGGTTCATGGGCGTCAGGAGGGGATTCTGCGGGTTTGTGAGCTGCAGCCGTTTGGGGTCTGTACCACTTGGCCAGGGCGGCAAAAACAGCATCCCATGGTGGGGGGCGGGGGGGCTTAACAGCAGAATTTAGTTTCTCTCAGATCTGGAGGCCGGAAGTGCAAGGTCAAGGTCAAGGTCAGGAGGGTCCTGTGAGCTGTTCTCTGCCTGCTGGCAGCCGGCTTCCTGCCGTGTCCTCCTGTGGTCTCCCCTCTGTACTGGCTTATCTGTGCCCAGCTGTCTGCCTCTGCTGGACTGGAGCCTGGCCCGTGACCTCCTCTGCCTCGATGACCCTGTGAAGGCCCAGGGGCAAACACGGCTGCATTCCGAGCTGCTGGAGGTCCAGACCTCACCAATGAATGTGGGGGGACACCAGCTGGCACACAGCAGGTGTTTTCCTGGACACACAGTCAAGCTGTAATGGGTTGGCAACGTCCTTGTGGTCTGAAGGGCCAGGGAGTGAGCACAGGGCCGTCTCCACGCCGGGAAGGGGCAGGGCTGGAAGGCTGAGCCCCCAGCAGAGTGTGGTGGTGGGTGGGCACTCAGGGCTGGGCCTCCTGAGAGCCAGAGACTCCGCACAGGGAGCAGCAAGCAGTCAGCTGGGACCTGCGCAAGAGGAAACAAGCGTGAGTGGGGGCAGGAGGGCTCAGATCCCACGTGGGAAGGCCTGGGACTCAGAGGCCAAGGTCAGAGGAGCTGGGCCTGACTGCTACTGCAGTGCTGACCACCGGGGCGCCCAGTAGGCAGGGCCGAGCTCACCACCAGGGGCTTGGGAGCCTCCAGACTCAGCGTGAGGGACAGACCCAGCGTCCTGACCCTCTGCGAGTCCCCCAGCAGGTGCAGACCACGAGATTGGGGGTGAGAGGATCACTACTGAAGAGCACCCATGGCTCCCTGGGGTGTCATGGCCTGCCACACATGTTTGAAATGTCCTGTGACAAAAAGGTTTGAGGAAGGAGAGAGAGAGAGAGAGAGAGAGAGAGAGACTCCCAGGAGATTCTGACGCCAAGCCTTGGTTAGGACCAAGATGGCGGAGGGAGGCCTGCCCTGCCCTGGGGCTTCCTTTGACGCAGGGGCAGCAGTGCCTCCTGGTGGCCAACAAGAGCTCTCCTGGCACACACGGGTCATGAGCTGGAGGCCAGGGTGGCCACCAGGAAGCAGGGCAAGCCCTCCAGGCAGGCCCCAACCTTAGTGACACTGCAGGCCCTTCCCAGGCTGCCAGACCCCCAGGATAAAGGCGTGAGGTACAGGGGCCCGAAGCTGACCAGTTACAGTGAAATGCAATGACCAAAACTCTTGGTAACGTGGACTTTGGTGTCATGTAGTACATGTGCCTCTTGTGAGCACATTAAGTGAGACCAAGTAGCAGCTATAATTTAAACATAGTCATGAGAGGGGCTGGCACTGTGTCGTAGTGGGTGAAGCTGCCGCCTGCAGTGCCGGCATCCCATATGGGTGCCAGTTCGAGTCCTGGCTGCTCCTCTTCCAATCCAGCTCTCTGCTATGTCCTGGGAAAGCAGTAGAAGATGGCCCACGTGCTTGGGCCCCTGCACCTGTATGAAAGACCCGGAG